AGAGGGCACACGCTGAAATGTCTCGCCTGCGTATTTTTTAATCATAATTGAATAATAATGACGAGGTCAAGGTCAAATGAACCCTGCCAGACAGACATGTTTATCTTACAATCATTCCATTCACCATATACAGTTCACATATTGATTAATGTACCTGACAAACTGATAAAACCATGAAAATCCAACATTGACCAATGAACCATGAAAACGAAGGTCAAGGTCATATGAACCCTGCCAGACAGACATGTTCACCTTACAATTTTTTCATTCACCAAATAAGGTTGACCTACTGTTTATTGTATCTGATTAACTGACAGAATCATGAAAGCTTAACATTGACCAATGAACTATGAAAATGAGGTCAAGGTCAGATGAACAGTAGAAGACACGCAGTCTTTTACACCTTACAATCATTCCATACACTAAGCATAGTTGATCTTTTGCTTAATGTGCCTGATAAACTGACAAAACCATGAAAAAATTAACATTGACCAATGAACCATGAAAATAAGGTCAAGGTAATATGAAACCTGTATTACAGAATGTACACCTTACAATCAGTCTATACACCAGATAAAGTTGGCTTATAGTATATGAGATACGGACTTAACCACCAAACTTTTACCTTAATTACTGATCCATGAAATGTGTTCGAGGTCAGGTGAACCCTGTCTGACGGACATGTAGACATTGCAAGGAACCCATATACCAAATACAGTTATCCCATTACTCATGATAAGTGGGAAATTGACATGACAAAAAAATTCAAGCAGTCGATGAACCATGAAAATGAGGTCAAGGACAATGGATATACGACAGACAGAAATTTCGTAACATAAGGTATCTCCATACGAGGTATGAAGCATCCATGTCTTCTACCTTCTGAAATATTAAGCTTTAAACAAAGAGTTAACGCCGTCGCCGCCGTATTGTAATCCATATGTCTGGCATTCTACGACTTTCGTCACAGGCGAGACAAAAGTGCCTTACTATGAAAGGCCAAGGATATTTTTTAACAAATGGAAATTTAATTTAAAATAATATCCTGTCAGAATAAGAGTTGCATCTGGCAGATTTATTTTTTCATCTGATAAGAATGTGATGAATAAAATTGAGAATGGAAATGGGGAATGTGTCAAAGATACAACAACCAGACCGAAGAGCAGAAAACAGCCGAAGGCAATCAATGGGTCTTCAACGCAGCGAGAAAATCCCGCAACCGGAGGCGGGCTTCAGCTGTCCCCTTTACAAAAATGTGTACTAATTCAGTGAAAATGGACGTCATACTAAACTCCAAAACATATAAATTAACTAAAATTAAAAAACATACAAGACTAACAAAGGCCAGAGGCTTGTGAATTGGGACAGGCGCAAAAATGCGGCGGGGTTAAACATGTTTTATGAGATATCAACCCTCCCCCTATATCTCTAGCCAATGTAGAATAAACAAACACACAGTAATATGAACAGTAAAACTCAGTTTAAAAGAAGTCCGTGTCCTATTTCAGAATAGGTAACAAAAGAAACTAAGCAAAATGACAATGATACATAAATTAACAAAGGACTACTAGCAGTTACTGACATGCCAGCTCCAGACCTAATTAAATTGATAGAAAGATTATGTAGTCTTTATCGAAATTCATTAGATAAATTGGATTTCTTCTAGTGAACCTATGTGACATGTTTGTCAATTGGCAGACAATAAGAAATCATTTAGATTTATATGAAAATGCAAGGTTTCAAGATGTGTAGATTTTTATTTGGAAACAGATAGAGGTTTTTATATAGAATATTATATGCCGGGAGTAATTTTTTTATCCATTTGTATTTTCCCTGGCAAATTAGATATGTAAAATAAAAACATGGACCCCTCTGTCAGCTGCCCTGGACTGCTTTGTGTTTATGTTTTTCAGGTGATTTGAAATAAAAGATGTTATTTTTGTTATAAAAAAAATCATCGTTAAAGGAGTCCAATTATTTTTTTTTCAAAAGTTAACACTATAAGGTATGGGGAAAATCTGGATTCAGAATTTGTTATTTGTCTTCTGCTTGACCACAATATTTTTTTTCATCAAATTGGGGATCAGAATATTTTTTTAAGAAAAAACCATACCCCCCCCCCCCTCCCTTGAAGTTAAATGGTCATTCCTTTATAGTTACAGAGAAGATTCTAATTTGAAACTTAGGTAATCTATAATTACAAAGTTTTCTTTGTCCCAAAATTGGCTTGATGAACTAATTTTAAGAAGTGTAATAGAATTAAAATTTAACTTCAGTATAACAAGGACTGAAATGAAGTTCACTCAGTACCGTGAAAATAAATTTGAATGTTAAACTTAATATGTGTATGCATCTGAAGTGTTAAAGGTGGATGTGACCTCCTTTATGTGAGGCTGTTACATTCTCTTGAAAACATCCTTACACTATGTTAATTATATGATTGTTGTTTAAGAGAGGTGAAAGATACCAAAGGGACATTCAAATCATAAGTCGAAAATAAATTGACGCCATGGCTCATAAACAGCTGCGCCATCAGCGCATGATACGCCTGTTGCTTTTTCAATAGATATAAACCAGTCACCAAAGTTTCATGAAACTGCTCAAGGCATTTTTGAGTTATTGTCTGAAAACTGGAAAATCCCCCCTTTTTTAATGAATAAAACCCCACAACTCGGAAATGTAAAATCTAAAATTTATAAAAATCAAAAGGGAGCTCATGTCAATAGATATAAACAATTAACCAAAATTTCTTGCAAGTTGGTGAAAGCATTCTTGAGTTATTGTCCGAAAACTGGAAAATCACCCTTTTTTAATGAATAAAACCGCATAACTCGGAAACATAAAATCTAAAATTTATAAAAAACAAAACAGAGCTCACGTCAATATATATAATAAACTTACATGTCAAACTTGATGAATGGTAAAATATACGACTGAGTGACCTTTAATGTTACACTCTTATACTCACCTATGCAATCTGTTCACCAATCCTTATGATTTAAGTTTATTCAGTATCTGAGATCTTAACATGGAAATTAAGTCAAGGAAGCATAAAATGCCAGCCATATTTTAGGCAGAGATGCTAATATACCCTCCTAATTACTAGTATGAATAAAACGAGATTCAGAGAGATGAGATAGCAACCCATCAACAAAGAGTGCTGACATCTAGATCCATCCAAACACCAAGTTATACAAGTGTACACTTAGTGTATGGTTTTCATAATGTAAAACTTTAAATAAACAATACAGCTGGAAAAAACAACCAAATACAAGTTATGTGACCTTTATCTTATGGATTTAATCAATCTCTCCATCATGTATCTGCAAACCAAATAAGATGGCTGTATGTTTTTATTGATTTCTGAGGAATTACTATTGATGTGCATGTTAATGTGGACGAGGGGATACTCCAATAATCACCTCAACATCCTTGAAGCCAACAAATATGTTTGAACAGAAACAATAGTTGCTTCTAGTATCCACCTCCTCTATGCAGTAGATTGATAGGAACAAATGTTTATATATTATTTTTAAAATTTGGTTTATATTAGCCAAGGAGATTCTGAGAAGATGATGCAAACCTTAAGCAATGGCCCTTTAGAAAATTACACCAACGTGAAACCTTAAGCAATGGCTCTTCAGAAAAAACACTAGCGTCAAACCTTAAGCAATGACCCTTTAGAAAAATTATACTAACATCAAATCTTAAGCAATGGCCCTTTAGAAAATTACACTAACATCAAACGTATAGCAATGGCCCTTTAAAAAATTACACTAATGTCAAACCTTAAGCAATGGTCCTTTAGAAAATTACACTAATGCTAAACCCTAAGCAATGGCCCTTTAGAAAATTACACTAATGTCAAACCTTAAGCAATGACCCTTTAGAAAATTACACTAATGCTAAACCCTAAGCAATGGTCCTTTAGAAAATTACACTAATGCTAAACCCTAAGCAATGGTCCTTTAGAAAATTACACCAACGTCAAACCTTAAGCAATGGCCCTTTAGAAAATTACACTAATGTTAAACCTTAAGCAATGACCCTTTAGAAAATTACACTAATGTTAAACCTTAAGCAATGACCCTTTAGAAAATTACACTAATGTTAAACCTTAAGCAATGACCCTTTAGAAAATTACACTAATGTCAAACCTTAAGCAATGACCCTTTAGAAAATTACACTAATGCTAAACCCTAAGCAATGGTCCTTTAGAAAATTACACTAATGCTAAACCCTAAGCAATGGTCCTTTAGAAAATTACACCAACGTCAAACCTTAAGCAATGGCCCTTTAGAAAATTACACTAATGTTAAACCTTAAGCAATGACCCTTTAGAAAATTACACTAATGTTAAACCTTAAGCTATGACCCTTTAGAAAATTACACTAATGTTAAACCTTAAGCAATGACCCTTTAGAAAATTACACTAATGTCAAACCTTAAGCAATGACCCTTTAGAAAATTACACTAATGCTAAACCCTAAGCAATGACCCTTTAGAAAATTACACTAATGTTAAACCTTAAGCAATGACCCTTTAGAAAATTACACTAATGCTAAACCCTAAGCAATGACCCTTTAGAAAATTACACTAATGCTAAACCCTAAGCAATGACCCTTTAGAAAATTACACTAATGCTAAACCCTAAGCAATGACCCTTTAGAAAATTACACTAATGTTAAACCTTAAGCAATGACCCTTTAGAAAATTACACTAATGCTAAACCCTAAGCAATGACCCTTTAGAAAATTACACTAATGTTAAACCTTAAGCAATGGCCCTTTAGAAAATTACACTAATGTTAAACCTTAAGCAATGACCCTTTAGAAAATTACACTAACGTCAAACCTTAAGCAATGGCCCTTTAGAAAATTACACTAACATCAAACTTTACTGGCCCTTGAGAAAATTACACATAACTACTTTTATGTGTTGTCTTTTCAACCATGAATTGATAAATATAAAAAGACAAAAATGAATTTAAGAGAACACAATACATTGTATATATTTAATGATGTAGCTCAATATAAAACATTCACAGAAATGCTTCAATAACAGTTAAGGCACATTTGTTTTGCTATAACTTACTAAAAACATGAAAAAGCATTTTTTAACATAATTCATGATTTTCACATGTGCTAGCTGTCATATATAGTTTGAAGACCTGAATCAAAAGCATAAGACTATCAAAGTTTCTAGTACATAAATTTTTTTTTACACTAGAGCGAAAGAAAAATGTAGAAAGTGACATAGAACTTTAATTTTTGCACCTGATAATAGTCACATCTTTAGACATCTAAAAATTAATATGAGTGGATTTATAATTAAAACATGGTACTATTTTGAAGGTATTGGTTTAACAAAAAATATAAAATACACTTTCCATTAAGGTTCAAAACAATAAAACTTAAAATAACATCCTTGGCCTATTTATTATTTGCCCGTTTTTTTTTTTTTTATTCTTCCAAATTTGACCCTTTTTCCCTTCTTCTGAATTCTGAAAAAAGTTGACATAGGACTTCAATTGAGTAAATTTCTCTGATGCATAAACTTTAAATGTACAGTTTCCAAAAAAACACTTAATAACTATAATTTTAAAAAATTGCATTTCAAGTCACAAAGTAACATGGATGAGCAGAGGAGTGGGGGAGGGGAAGTACATCAATGAGCACTATATAGTACCTGCTCACTCCTTGGCTTATAAATATACATATACATATATATAAATAAAATGAATAAATTCCATAATAAATAGTATTTATTGCACTATAACCTTTCTGAGAGAAAAAAAAAAACAGATTATTGATACTAAGGTACTAATGCTTTCATTTGATCTTTGAACTTTAACCTTGTGTCATTTGGTTCAGAAACAACATACAAACAAATAAACAAATAAATAAAACATCCCTTCTCCTTGGCAGTGACTACCCAAAACTTGCATTCTACCCTAGCAAAAATAACCCTGACCTCTCAACATATCAATTTTAAAGTTTAATCTATTCCATGTAAAGGAGTATTTTTTAAATATACTAATATATAATCAATCAAAAAGCAAAACCTGCAACAGAAAAGGCACATTTAACAAACAATAATACTTAAGTATATTGGTCCCTACAGAAAGCTTCATTTTGGAAACAGATAAATGTAAGGAGATGTGGGGTAAACATTAATTAGACAGCAACCCAGCAATACAAAAACCAACAAAATCTAGCAGTCAAAGTACAGTCTTCATCATCAAACAGAAATCTAAACAAAATATGAAGCTCTGAATAACCCCATGTCTAAAAAGTTGTGTTTTCATATCAAAAAATTATTATCATTTTTTCTCAACTTTAACCTAGGTGTGGTTTGCTCCAGACACTTGAACAACTAATAAACAATCAATAAAAAAATATTCTTTTTATGTTTTTACTGAAAAATTTGTTAAGGCACCATTTAAATTTATAATACTGCCTTTATTTTAAAATGCATAGTAACAGACTCATAATGTTTTCAATTCAAGATACTGTAAAAATTATTCTTGTAATTCCTGAAAAGACTACTAAAATATAACACCAAGATATTTTTACAATATACTAAATAAAATTTAAAATACTATATTCAATGCATGAGGTGTAAACTCAAAATATTCTAATTTTGATTTTTGTTAACGTTTCTGAAAAATTCTACAAACTGCAAAAAAGAGGAAATAATCTATGACAACAATAAAGTGACCATGCAATTCACTTGTGTAATATTGTAAATATTTTTTCACTTCATTCAGTATAATGTATATAAATAAATGAATAAACAATTGTAATATACAATTTATATTCAAAATTAAATTCATAATAAACAAAGAGGTTTTGTATGTAATATTATATTGCATATATAATAAACAAAGTGCATGGTTTAATACAATTTCTTTGAACACTAGTTTCAATATCTTTTAAAGCTGACTGTCGACTGGTATCTACATCTTAATTAATGTTCTGGAAAAAAGTACATGAATCATGATAAGACAAGGCAACATTATTTCACTGGGTAGAAATGATCCAACAAGTAAACAATAAATGTGGCAAACAATTTGCATTTTTAACAACATTATTTCATAAACTAGATTCAAATATGATTAAAAATTTGTAAGGGGTTCCACGGAACCCTGTTTCACCTGCGATTAATGCTGTCAGTGTTAAGTGTAATGTTGACATAAAAAGTGAGTCCATTTATCAGTAAAATACAAAATTAAAAAAAAAAATAGATGCTTTTTCTTGGTCTTGAAGATAAGCATCTGCCCAAGCTTCATAACAATCCATGAAGGTTTACAAATTTATCACGTCAGAAAAATTCAATCCCAGATTGTCTGTAAATGTTAAATGTAATTAACAAGAGTGCACACGCTGAAATGTCTCGCCTTCTTTACTAATCATTGATATTATGTTAATAGTCCTAAACATAAAGCATTATTACAACTGTCACATAAACTTAACATTAACCAAGTAAACAAAACATTGACCAATAAACCATGAAAATGAGGTCAAGGTCAGAAGAACCATGCTAGGCAGGCATGTACAGCTAACAATTCTTCCATACAACAAATATAGTTGACCTATTGCTTATAGTTTAAGAAAAACAGACCAAAACACAATAAACTGCTTCGCTGAGCGCAGCTGGATACGCCCGCAGAGGTCCAACCCTGAACAGTTGGGGCAAAAATGGACACAATATTCAAGCTTGATACAGGTCTGAATTTGGATTGTAACTAAATATTTGATATATTACAGGTTTCTGAATAAATGTATTCAAAGAACTTGAAATTGGTTATATGAAAGATTTCTTGCTGTTGTGCAATACACTGTGCTGTTGCGCAATACTTAGTAAATCTGTTGTCAGGCTATAAACAAATAAAATCTTATAACTTGGAAACATAAAATCGAAAATTTATAAAAATCAAAAGGGAGCTTACAAAAATAGTTATAAACAATCTACCAAAGTTTCATAAAAAATGCTGAATTTTTGAGTTATTGTCCGAAAACTCGAAAATCCCCCTTTTGTAATGAATAAAACCTCATAAATCGGAAACGTATAGTCTGAAATTTATAAAAATCAAAAGGTAGCTCATGTCGATAGAAATAAACAATTCACCAAAGTTTCTTGCAAATTGGTGAAATTGTTTTTGAGTTATTGTCTGAAAACTGGAAAATCCCCCCTTTTTTAATGAATAAAACCCCAAAACTCGGAAACGTTACATCCAAAATTTATAAAAAAGGAAAGGGAGCTCATGTCAATAAATATGAACAATTCACAAAAGTTTCATGCAAATTGGTGAAATTTTTTTAGAGTTATTGTCTGAAAACTGGAAAATCCCCCCTTTTTTAATGAATAAAACCCCAAAACTCGTAAACGGTAAACCTGAAATTTATAAAAAACGAAAGGGAGCTCATGTCAATAGATATGAACAATTCACAAAAGTTTCATGCAAATTGGTGAAATTGTTTTTGAGTTATTGTCCGAAAACTGTAAAATCCCCCCTTTTTTAATGAATAAAACCCCAAAACTCGGAAATGGTAAATCTCAAATTTATGAAAAACGAAAGGGAGCTCACGTCAATAGATATAAACAATTCACCAAAGTTTCATGCATATTGGTTAAAGTGTTTTTGAATTAATGTCCTACATGTTGACGACGGACGGACTGACAGAAGGACGGACAGACGGTCAACGGTATACCATAATACGTCCCGTAAACGGGCGTATAAAAACTAAACACTGAGCAATGAACCTTGAAAATGAGGTCAAGGTCAAATAAAACCTGCGTGACTGACATATAGATCATAAAATATTTCCAAACACCAAATATAGTTGAACTATTGCATATAGTATTAGAAAAAAAGACAAAAACCCAAAAACTTAACTTTGACCACTGAACCATGAAAATGAAGTCAAGGTCAGTTGACACCTGCCAGCTAGACATGTACACCTTACAATCATTCCATACACCAAATACAGTTGACCTATTGCATACAGTATTAAAAAAACAGACCAAAACACAAAAACTTAACTATGACCACTGAACCATGAAAATGAGGTCAAGGTAAGATGACACCTGCCAGTTGGACATGTACACCTTACTATCATTACATACACCAAATATAGTAGACCTATTGCTTATAGTATCTTAGATATGGACTTGACCACCAAAACTTAACCTTGTTCACTGATCCATGAAATGAGGTCGAGGTCAAGTGAAAACTATCTGACGGGCATGAGGACTTTGCAAGGTACGTACATACCAAATATAGTTATCCTATTACTTATAATAAGAGAGAATTTAACATTCCAAAAAATCTGAACTTTTTTTTCAAGTAGTCACTGAACCATGAAAATGAGGTCAATGACATTGGACACTTCGTAACATGAGGCATCTATATACAAAGTATGAAGCATCCAGGTCTTCCACCTTCTAAAATATAAAAGCTTTTAAGAAGTTAGCTAACGCCGCCGTCGCCGCCGGATCACTATCCCTATGTCGAGCTTTCTGCTACAAAAGTCACAGGCTCGACAAAAACTAAACCAATTTTGGATGAACATAGCGACAAACAAGAATTAATCCATTTTCTGAACACTATCTTGGTGGGTCATAAAAATAAGAATTTGTTTCTAGATTATGACGAAATCTCTAATTTTTGGTTTATCCTCTTTCAAACTTGTTCTTTCTTTTATCCTAAATGGTATGATGTACTTACTTATTTAAAGAAGGTATCAAATGGGTCATTGGCAGGTGGTGGCTGCTGTAAAAAGGCATAAATTGGTTAATAAATATATTATAAATATTAAATAATAAATTCGACTCAGTTGTTCTATATTCTATTATAATTATTAATTTTCTTCCTGTTATTGTAATGTTCTCACGATGGGTTCCGCATGTGGAGCAGGATCTGCTTACCGTTCTGGAGCAACTGAGATCCCCCTGGTTTAGTTGGTGTTCGTGTTGCTCAGTCTTCAGTTTTCTTTGTTGTGTTTTGTGTACTGTTGTTTGTCTATTCATTGGTTTTTTTGTTTTTTGCCATGGCATTTCCAGTTTGTTTTCAACTTATGAGTTTGAATATCCCTTTGGTATCTTTCGCCTCTCTTTTATTGTCAACAGTTTGTGCCAAAATATGTGTTAACTATAAAATGTCTAAAATTGTTGGTCTTGTAAAATTGAACAAGTTTAACAATACACATAATCCAGTCTTACACTTTTGAATCCAAAAATCAAATGTATCATTATTGTTTCAGCACTAGACATTAAACTTTGTCGACAGAATATTTCTTAACTTGAATCACATCCTCTTTTGATCATTTATGACATCTCCCAATTTGATTGATCCCCAGATTTTTAGTTGAAAATGAGCAACATGAGAGGCGACACTATGGGAGAAGGATCTGCTTACTTATCAGAGCGTCTGAGTTCACCTTCGATTCTGTGGGGTTTGCTTTAATTTTCTGTGGAGTGTTTTTTGTTTGTCATTTTTCTTTTGCGCAAGCTTCTGTCATCATGTTTTATTGCCCCTTGTTATCTTATCCCCCCTTTTTTAGTAATGTAAGCAATTTACAATACAAAAGATATACAAACCTGGTAAGTCATAAGTACCAACCCCTTTGGTATATGAACACTTTTTAGTTCCCTTAACATAGAATGTATTGATCCAAAGGGAAGTACTTTACATTTATATAATATAGCAACACAATATTCCCATTAATTCTTTTAACTCTTTTGCTGATCAATAAAGTGAACTTGAGAAGTTCTTTAATGTGTATGACATAAATGTTAATTATTTATTTAGATGTTCTATTGGTTTTTTTTTAAGCCATGGCTTTTAAAAAAGTTTTCAGTCTTACAAAGCATAATAAAATTAACATAGTATATAAAACTATTAAATTTTAGCACCCCTTCACACTATGTAAATATCCTTGTAAATATATGTTGTGTTAAACCTATATCCAAAGTGGGAGAGCTCTGATATATAAGGGAGGATCATACCTGTACAGAACAGAACATTGTGCAATGAGAATGTATAATCACAATAAAAACATTTTATAAAAGATCGTACTTCAGAGCCAAATGTCAAATTTCGGAAACTTTTTTTTCTTAACTCATTTTCCAATGGTTTTCCATTAGTTGATGTTAGTCCCCAAAGTAGATAAAAATGCTATAATAAAGTATTTGCTTTGTACAACAACTTATTTTAATACTGAAAAGAAACTGAACACATATTAAAACAGGAAAATGTGACCATTGGACACAATGACCGCCTTAGCACTATCACATGTCCTTGTACAGTGATAAGCAAATCTGGGTCAAAAATCTAATTTTGCATATATTTTTAAAAGTTCACTTAATAAGGAACATATGTGTTCTAAGTTTCAAGTTGAAATGACTGCTAGTTCCCTAAAACAAAAATTTAAATAAAACTTAAACCTAAACTTTAACCTACCTTAAACAATAACTTTAAACTGATATGGGACTGACACACACTCAGACTTGGAAAATTTAATGACCCCTTACTACCGTAGGCAGGGCATAACAATACTGTACTTAAATAATATATGGTGGAGGATATGGAATGAATATACATTTGGTCAGTTGCATACATTGTATATAACAAATGGGCAATTGGGATGGGAAAGCATTTTGTGTTAACAATAGGAAATTCATGCAAATCATTTTTATATGTGACATTCTACTCAAAGTATACACAAGAATAACATCACCAATACCTATTTTCTTTTCTCCTCTTTCAATTGTAGTTTAATATATGTAAGAATAATTAATAGATTTTTTTAATAAGACACAATTTTTTATTTAATAGTCTGAATTGTTATCTCTTTTACACATTTAACTGTAATCATTATTCAAGTGTTTACACGTATCTATGTTTCTAAAAAAGAATAAAAAACAATTCATAAAATGTTTTAAGTAACATTAAACTTAATTAAATAGGAAGGCCATACCTTAAGGTAAGTTGACATGGGGAATAAGGAAAAATCAAGAAAAAGCAATTATGCATAGTTCATTGGCATAACTTTTTCATCATCTATCCCTTGATGACAAATTTTAAAAAGCCCTGAAAACAAATTAACAAAATTGATGGTTTTGGACCTTTCTTACTCTTAAGGATAAATCAATTATATCAAATCTACAATTGTTAAATATTAGTAAGTACACTACAAATTCCGATGTTTGTATTCTAAGTATACTTACTTTTGGTTTGTTAGAATCTTTAATATTTTTTTGAACACCATTACTCTTAAAATCAAAGGCAGCAAATGGATCCTTGGATGAATCTAAATGCTCACTTTTCTGTCCTTTTGTTTGAATACTAAATGGCGAAGAAAATGGATCATTGGAATTATTGTCAAAAATTTTAGAAAATCCATCAGATGAATTAAAAGGATCACAGTCTGCAAAGGGATCATTGCTCTGAAACGGGTCTTCAATCACGAAATGACTACTTGAACTGGATGAATTTGTAGAATTCATACTCAATTTATCACCATCTGGAGATGAAGCATTTAAATTATTATTTTCTTCAACTTTCTTTTGAGTATTTGCACCAAAGTTACTTTGACTAGACTGAGATTCTCTAAGAGATTTTTCACTCAGATTTCTGGTCTGAGGTCTGGGTCGAGGAACGGGTATTATACTTGTCTTTTGAGATTCCGATGACATATTTCTAGGTGGTAATGCTGGTACAGGTTTATCACAGGAGTGCTGTTGGTGGGATGTGCCTGATAAGGGGCGTGGTGGGGGTGCAGGGGGTATTGCAGCAATTTTATCAATTTTCCTCTCTGGTGGCAGTGGCGGTGGAGGCCCTTCTGGAGAAGGCATATCAAAATTGTCACTGTCACTATCTCCATTGTTTGCAGACGACACCTGCAGATGATCTGGTTTATTTTGAATATTGGCATTGTTGTTGCAAGCAGGAAGTACAGCATGTGGCATTGCTTTGAGAGGATTGTTTATAAAGGAAGTATCAAAAGGATCTTGACTTGCTTGAGTTGTCTTGAAGTTTGCAGCATCTGGTAGAGAAAAGGAATCAAATGTGCCAAAGGGATCTTCTGAACTTGCCTGTACTTGTGGTTGATTAGCTTTTGCTAATTCGTTAATTGGTTTTTTAGTAGCAGCAGTCTGTTGGGCAAACAGCTCTTTTGGAGTCTTGTCTGTACTCTTGGTTTTGATTTGGCAAAGATCTCCAAAAGCATCTGCTGGAGGTTTAGGAGAGTCTCGTCCTCCTTCACCTTGCATCTTTGTAGGTGCTAAAACTGGTTCCCCAAATGGATCATTGGTAGGTGCTGGCATTCCCGAATTTGCAGCTCCCCATGGATTAGGTTGATTAGGTGCTGGACCTCCAAAGCCAGGTCTCTGTGGTACAGCAGGTGGAAAACCTCCCTAAAGAAGAAAAAATTACATAATCAAATGACAAACTGTTTTTTTATGTTTTATGTTTGAAACAGATGCTAAAATCTTTATAAACTGTCAGCATTTTGTGCATATGCTTTCAACTGTTTTGCAATTTTCAGTCTCACTGCAAAACTATTTAATTCAACTAAATTAAAATTCCCTGCTACTTATTTGTCTGCATATTTAGCTAATTTAACTATATCAAGTTTTCCCCTTTTAGACATTAAAGCAAGCTTTATTTAATAATTTAAAACTTTTTGACTGTAAATTAAACTTTTTTATTTCATATTTATAAAAAAATATCTTATATTTGGTCAATATAGTGTTCACAATTCTTTATGATAAAAATCTTTCGTTTTTTGGTCATTTATACCCATATTAATGCATGATCAAGATTCTTTTATTATTGGTCTTTAGAAGATCACCTATGAAAAATGTTTTCTATCATAACCCAAAATTCTACATTATATCATTACCCTTAAATATCTCAAAACTCCACATCACAATAAAATTTTTATACATTGATATTTTGAATTAAATTCATATCTATAGGTTTGATGGAAAGAAATTTTTTTATCAAATCTATCATGACTATTAATCGTGTAGAACGTTGATGATGCCATGGTCAAATGACAAAACAGAATAGTGCCAAGATTTAACTTGCCATAGAGACTTAATCACAGAAAATTACTCCTTTGAAATTGTTTATATAATACGTTAAAAATGTTATATGTGGCCTTCGGCTGTTTTCTACTCTTTGGTTGGGTTGTTGTCTCATTGACACATTCCCCATTTCCATTCTCAATATTATATAAGGATATGTATTTTGAAAAGATTAAAGCATTTGAATATCTGAAAATTTATTAGTTTGCATACCTGAGGTATTCCATAAGATATATCAATTAGTAGTTTTCTTTAATCTCTGTCAGATCTTTAAAATTTAATCTATTAATGTAGGATTATAAAATCTATATTTCAATTAGTGTTTTGCTCAAGTACATATAGATAAGTTAAAAAAAGTCATCAAACATACCAGATTTATAAATTTGTAAACCAGGCCTGCGTTTCTTATACTAAAGACTCAAAGCTGAACAGTTTTTTGATGTATTTTTTAGTTTTTTTTTGGAATTTCTCATCGTCAGGACTTTTTTACTTGTGTACTGCATTAAATTTATTTGAGATAGCATGTTCATTGACTTACCAGTACATCTTCTCAACTATTTTAAGAAATGGTATTTTACACCTAGGTAAAATAATTAAAATTGAGGTTTGGGGCAATCCTCAGGAATTTATAATTTGATGACCTGTTAAGAAATAAGCCAAAATATTGTTATAATCTTAAAGAACAAATATTTGGCTGTGATGCTATGAATTTAATTTAAGATTAAAAGACTTTTGAACGTGGTGTGAAATAAATTCAGGAGAAATTGACCTTACTCCTTCATGGCATTATCGTGGAAATTTCATTTCTCTAATTTTCATGCTTTTTTCACATTTCTCGATCGGTTTAAAAAATAAATGTGGATAGTGTCCACATGTGGACACAGATGATGCCCCCGCTTGCATATCATATAGTTATAAAGGGACATAACTGAAGAACGGTAAAAGTGACGCTACCCAAATATGAACTTGATCTGAGTTTGTGGTAATAAGCATGGTGTGTAAGTCTCATAACATTTGGTTGAGGCTAACTTAAGTAGAGAACAGAAACTAAAAATTCAGCAATTTTTCTATTTATAAACACGCATAACTCTAGAACGGTTTTGTATAAGTTTTATAACATTTGGTTGAGACAAACTAAAGTTAGAGAATGGAAACGAAAAATTCAGCAATTTTTATGTTTATAAAGGGACATAACTCAAGAATGGTAAAAGTGTTGCCACCAAATTTCGTAATTAATCTGTATTATGTAGTAATAAGCATTGTGTATAAGTTTCATAACATTTGGTTGAGGCAAACTAAAGATAGAAAAGGGAAACAAAAAATTTGTACTTGATCTTAGTTTTGTGGTAATGAATATTGTGTATAGGTTTCATAATGTTAGGTTGGGGCAAACTTAAGTTACAGAATGGAAACTAAAAATTTTGAAATCTTTCGATTTATAAAGGGGCATAACTCAATAATGATTATTAAAGTAACACTACCCAAATTCAACTTGATCTGTGTTTTATCAGTGGAAGTCAAAATTAAACATTGCATTGTATAAAGCATTGATTGTAGTTGATTCAACTATAATCATTGACAAACGAAGATAACTCCAATTTTAAAATTACCTGATATTTAGAAGAAAATAAAAATTTTGCCATTTCTAAAGGGGCATAACTCTAGAATGGTTACAGTGACGCCACCAAAATTCAAACTGGATCTGTGTTTTGTGGTAATAAGCATTGTGTATAAGTTTCATAATATTTGGTAGAGGCAAACTAAAATTAGTGAACGGAAACAAAAAATTCAGCAACTTTTCCATTTGTAAAGGGGCATAACTCTAGAACGGTAAAAGTGATGCCACCAAAACTCAAATTTGATCTGTGTTTTTGTGGTAATAAGCAATGTGTATAAGTTTCATAACATTTGGTTGAGGCAAACTAAAGATAGAGAACGGAAACTATAAATTCAGCAGTTTTCCATTTGTAAAGGGGCATAACTCTAGAACGGTAAAAGTGACGCCACCAAAATTCAAACTTGATCTGTGTTTTGTGGTAATAAGCATTGTGTATAAGTTTCATAACATTTGGTTGAGGCAAACTAAAGTTAGAGAACGGAAACCAATTTTGGGACGTACGCACATACTTACAGACAGACAAGAGTAAAACTTAATGCCCCCTCTGCCACAGCGGGGGCATAAAAATATTTCTCATCTCTAGGGAAAACTTTTATCTCAGCAAATAATTGGTTGAAATTCAATTATGACGTAAAATTTTCTTGGTTTCTTCTGAATTTTCTATTGTGACGTCATGAAAAAAGACAACCATGCCTGAAGACGTCATAAAAAGAACACAACTTTCTGCAAATCTTTGAAAAGGAAGGATAAACTTCGTTTAGATATCATCTAAAAATCATTAGGGAAACAGATTCTACCACTATATCTAGTGTATTACGATATTTCTCCACTCTCAACAGTTACATTTTTATTATTTAAAAAGCTTGGCAAGCCTCTTGCTTTAAATATAAAAATAATACTGTCTCGAGTTGAGAAATATTGTAACACACTTGATGCAGTGGTGGAATCTATATATCATACATTACTACTTTTATTAATTATCTCAATATATTGGCATAAGGATTTATTACCATAGGTTGTCCAAATGGATTAGCTGCAGGTGCTCCGAAGCCTGGCTGGGCTGTCGGTGCACCAAAACCTGGTTGAGCTGGTGGTGCTCCAAAGCCTGGCTGAGATGTTGGTACTCCAAACCCTTGTTGTCCAAATCCAGTCTGAACTGTTAGTGGTGCTCCTGGTTGAGCACCAAACCCTGCCTGAGTTTGTGCACCAAATCCTTGCTGAGGTTGAGCACCAAATCCTTGCTGAGGTTGAGCACCAAACCCTGGCTGAGCTGCAAAACCAGCATGCAGCATTCCTGGATTATTAGGTGGCATTGTAGGTTGATTACCAAAAAGTCCTAATATAGCATTTTTATCAACTGGAGAAGCTGGTTTTGTACCAAACAAGTCGATATCTTGAAGGTCAGAGGATGTTGATGTGGGTACCCCACCAGCTGTGGATGTGGATGTGGGAGAACCCCATGGATCATTTGATGGAGATGATGTTGGTGGATTTTCATTTTCAAAAAATGTTTCTAGCTTGTTCATTTGCTCTATACCCTGCAAAACAAAAGTATGTCTTATTCAAACAATATGGTCCTTTGTGTAGGAATAAGGGTTTTAATTACCTCCCTTGCTTCAGCTTTGTTGTCCAACAAATAGGTATTATCAAAACTCACACAGCATTACAAAAATACAATTGTCATTTCTAATCCTCTTTCTGATAACCTTTGTGTTATAACTGACAGAAGTTTCCAAGTATTACTTTTCATTTTCTATAAACAGATTTCACACTTCCAAAAAGATAAACAAACATTTTCTAATCTTTCTTTTCCTTTTATTCTTTGCATTTTGATAAAGAGCCGTAAAATTGAAGACAGAATTTTCCAAAGTTTTTGTGTTTCTACAAAACATGTTAAACCATATATTCATTTCAATTACTTTTTTTTTTTTATGAACCTGTTTTTTTTGTCATTTCATTTGGAGTTTCTGGTGCTGAAGGATGATTTTTGATAAAACACAGAAGATACACTTAATTCTTTTATCAAACAGTTCATCGATTCAGGGAAAAGAAGTCTCAAAGGTAATCATCTGATTTTAGCAAAATTTGTATCAATTAAGGATAAAGAAATTATGCTGAAAAACGGATTCAAATTAAAAAGGATAAGTTTTAGAGTTCAAGAGCAATTTCCAAAAGAAATTGAACAAAAAAAAACTTTATACCCAGTAGCTAAACAGGCCAGAAGGGAAAAAAGGAAAGTACTCCTGATAAAAGACAAACTGTATATTGATGGTGATTTGTTCAAACCACATACTGAAGGAGCTGGAAACCAAAAACTACACGATGCATTTAATTTGAGTATCATACAGCGGTGAAATATTCCTCTACAAAACAAAAAATCAACAAATGAATCAGAATCATCGGAACTTAATGTTTTTCAAATGTTCAAACAAGATTTAACTACCAAAGAGTTACAAACATAGACGATTCTGGAAGAAATACCTCTTAATTAACAGTTTTTAACCAAGTTATTATACTTAAATGTGAAAAGGGAACATTATTTTGTCAAATTATTATTTTGCTATTAATCATTTTTTAAAGACAATCCGGTACATGTTTAAATGTTTCTATGAAAACCTCATGTTTCACCATCGTTGTGACAGAGGGTTACTTTCTTATAATAGTTTTCTGTAGTTTATCCCACACCTAATATTTTTCCTTTTCCAAATGAATATCTATAGTTACCTGACCAATAGTCTCAAGTTCACTTTCTAAATCGACCAAAGAACTTCCAGCTCTCTCTTTTACAAGTCTATTGTTTGTAGGTACCTATAAAATAAAATATGAGTACATGAAAGTTCAAAAACATTCTCTTTTGATCTTTTTTAGTGATCATTTTTCATATCACACTTCTTGAGTGTTTTTGGTTTTTCTTTTGGTAGAGTAGAAGGAAAATGTATAACGTCATAAGCCTCGGAAAACAGCAATAAACAGATTATAAATATGATACCTTGGAAAAGAGAATTGCTTTTGTGTTTAATATTTTTTTTACAAAACCTGAGTTTAATATCGATGACAGGTACAAAATTACAAAACCCACCTGATCACTAGGCTTATTTGACGTAAATTTTAAGAAAAGTATCTGTTGAAACCCTTTTCAAATATTTTTCAAAATTCTAAAAAAAACAAAACAATATGCAAAATCATATCAGGAATTGCATAGTTTTCTAAAATTAACAGTACTACTTTTCACTTATAACTAGAGCCTCTTTAGAGCCTGTGTATCGCTCACCTGTATCTTCAACAATTGCCACATTTTTTGTAAAAATCATCATTAAAGGGGAATAACAGTATTAAGAGTTAACAGACAATTTGCTTTTTAAAATTTATATCTATCTATTATAGTTTTCAAGATAATAGGCAAAAATGAAAAATTGGGAAAAATCTTCACTAAAGGGCAATAACTTCAATAAGGAGTCAACCAAAAACTTCAGTCTTAATGACTTATTTGTAGAAATTGTCTTGCTGATCATTTTTGCTATTCAAAATTTCCATCTATCTATTATAGTTTTCAAGACAATAAGCAAAAATGCCAAAAATTGGGAAAAATCGTCATTAAAGGGCAATAACTTCAATGAGGTGTCGACTAACAATTTCGATCATGTTGACTTATATGTAGATCTTGTCTTCCTGATCATTTTTTGTTATTTAAAGTTTCTTTCTTTCTACTGTATTATAATTTTCAAGATAATGAACATTTTTGCCCATGTCAGATTTTCTCTATCTTTAACAGTTTTCCAGATAATAGCCAAACACTGCATTTTACCCCTATGTTCTATTTTTAGCCATGTCGGCCATGTTGGTTGGCAGGTGGGGTCATCAGACACATTTTTTAAACTAGATACCCTAATGATGATTGTGGCCAAGTTTGGTTCTAATTGGCCAAGTAGTTTCAGAGGAGAAGATTTTTGTAAAAGTTTATGGACGCAACAACGATGCCTTTGGGCCAGGTGAACTAAAAATGTATACTCATAATGCTGGCGGTAAAATGTTTTCAAAAATTGTATCCTTAAATTGTAAGGACAATACTTTGAGATTTCAGAACATCTGCCTCATTTTCAATACATCTATTTGGTATAGGAACACAACAAAAACAAAATAAGTGTTTAACAGTGTGAAGAAGTAATAACAACAAAAACTGCAAATATAGATAACAACAGGTAACTAACTAGAATGTGCAGAGTCAGAAAGCTGTACAGAAATTGCATCCTATTTCATCATAAGATCGTCCACATTAAACTAACAATGATTTCTAACAACAACCAAAATCACCACAACATCGTAACTTACTTCATAGATGGGTTCTGATATTTCATCATATCCATTATATATATACAGTTCCTATTGGGATAACAGTATAATACTAATAAAAATATTCAATATTTTATACATGTAACATTATTTAGACAACAGACATAAAAAATTAAACTATGATATAATCTGTAAGTAAAAATAAATTGTGAATGACATAACATACATGTCATAAAACTATTCTGGAAATGGAATAGGTTTGAAAGAGAATTCTTAGTACTCTAATGTGTCTTTTAAATTGAACACAAATTGTCTCCCCTGTTGTTGGAAACACATGAGTTATCTCCCTTTAACATTGTTATACTATCATAGTTTTACTAACAGTTTTCTATTTCATACCATTACAATTTAGATAACTGTCGGTTTCAATTTTTGATATATATAAGTATCATGAGCTCAAGTATGCATTTATTGGCCATATGCAAAATAAATTTGGGATTTATTATTAAAAACATGATTAGCTAAAAAGTAATCTAAGACATAGCTTTTTGGATTAGCACAGAAATATACAGAATGTGTGTTTCATTTGATTCGGAAGCAAAATCTGAAAACAAATATTCAAACTTCTCAAAACTTCTAAACAAATTTTCAACAGTAAAATCAATGCCATATAATTCCAGTATATAGCCTTTGAAATCAAACAATTACAATTTCTACAGTTGGATACAGGTGGATACTTACTGGCTTTAATATTATCTTATCTAGTAGGAATCTGCTTTGTGTAGTTGTTTATTAAAACTAATGCCTTCGTTTAATGGTGATTGAACTTCCAAATTATTCATTACTTTACAAAATATTTATGTGTTAATTTTTCCAAATCCTTTGATGTTCGTTATGAAAGAACTGCAACGACAACAATTTGCTTTTACAAATTTTCTACAGTAAAATCAATGCCATATAATTCCAGTATATAGCCTTTGAAATCAAACAATTACAATTTCTACAGTTGGATACAGGTGGATACTTACTGGCTTTAATATTATCTTATCTAGTAGGAATCTGCTTTGTGTAGTTGTTTATTAAAACTAATGCCTTCGTTTAATGGTGATTGAACTTGCAAATTATTCACCACTTTACAAAATATTTATGTGTTAATTTTTCCAAATCCTTTGATGTTCGTTATGAAAGAACTGCAACGACAACAATTTGCTTTTACAAATTTTCTACAGTAAAATCAATGCCATATAATTCCAGTATATAGCCTTTGAAATCAAACAATTACAATTTCTACAGTTGGATACAGGTGGATACTTACTGGCTTTAATATTATCTTATCTAGTAGGAATCTGCTTTGTGTAGTTGTTTATTAAAACTAATGCCTTCGTTTAATGGTGATTGAACTTGCAAATTATTCATTACTTTACAAAATATTTATGTGTTAATTTTTCCAAATCCTTTGATGTTCGTTATGAAAGAACTGCAACGACAACAATTTGCTTTTACAAATTGAAACATTATTCTATTAAGTTCTTTTTATTAAACAATATGACGGAGAAAGAAGCTAAATCATAACAAAGGTACACTTATGAACGGCACCAACAACAAAAATCATTACTTTTGAATATGTAACAACAAAAATCAGTTTTAATTTTTTGTTAATTTGTTGATCAAATAACAGAATGGAAAAAGAAGCTAGCTCCTAATTCATGTAGCTCTTATTGTCTCCATGGGCCAAGGGTTAATATCACAAGGTTAATAATGGTAAGTAATTAGTATGTCATTTATTTTTTAATTATAGAGCATAGCAGGTTTTATTTTATTCCCTTGCCCAACAGAGTTGTGGAGGGAATATATAGAATGATGCTTTTTTTCACCTATATCAAATGGGAGATATTGTGTGTCGTCCACTCAATGGTTGGTCTGGTCATTTCTTTGGTCTTTCCCTATAAAGTTTTTCATTATAGTTCAAATGAGCAGGCTAATTTACAGGATTATTTAACCCTTTAAATTAGCAAAAAAATTTCAATAAAAATGGATGATACCATTATTAGTTACATAATTTCCATTATTTAAGATGTAGTTAGCCAATCATAACCTTTTTGGTGTACTCTTTTGAAAATATTTCCCAGAATGCATTAGATTCTAAAACAGTGTATTTTCCACTATCAATTTTATAGAAAAAATGGTGGTATCATAAGAAAGATAATTCTATTAAATAGTTTTTTTCAGCTTGAGTTTGATCTTTTTTGTCCCCTAAAAACTAATGGACATTAGTTGATTGATTGATTGGTGTTTAAGACCACTTTCAGCACTATTGTGCTTTTTCGTGGCGGTCAGTTTTATATTGGTGGAAGAAGCTGGAGTGCCCAGAGAGAACCACCGACCATCGGTAGGAAAACTGACAATCCTAGTCAATTAAGATTGGAGTAGTGTGCACCTGCCCTATGAGGGATTCGAACTCACAACCTCAGTGTTGACAGGCTAGTGATACAGTAGTTTCGACCACTTAGATCACTCGGCCACCACTCAGCCACCAAGGGCACACCCCAATGGACATTGAAACCAGGATATCAAGTATCTACAAAAACAAATATTTTTCCTCAATCTACAAAAAATGGTAGCCACAGGAATAAATGAATCCACTGTATAAACTTATAAACTATAAAATCAGCCCAATATTTACACTATTTCAAGTTCCAAATCTGGGTAAATTCCTAAAAACTGATCAACAGTAGAAAAATTTTAAGTTCATACTAATTTCTTTTAGCACTAGTATTCTTCTTAAGAAAAAGATAGTCAGACATTGGTATTAGAGGGATAATTAAATGAACTAAATTTTTTTCACCAATTGATCAGTGTGAAGAGATGACTTTATACTGCAACTTGAAAAACTGTTTATCCCATTAGCAATCTGAAAGGCCAAAGCTGTTTGCATAAGTCATGTAATTAGTTTGAATACTGTTTCTATAACTTTTTACAAATCGATTTGTGGTCTAACAAGAAAGTAATTGTACACTTGTTGTATACTGTAATTTCAAATACTAAACAAACACTATAGAAGGGAGATAATCTTGCAACAAACTCAATGACAGAAAGCACAAACAAGGTTATCTCCCTTTACTCATGTCATTTACATTTTTTCACAAATACTTGTTAGAACACATAACAACATCTAATAACAACTATAAAACATTTAAATTAGATCAAATATAGAATAGTATTATAATACATATTATATGAACAAAGTCAAACTTATAGATACCTACTTGATTGCCCACATACTTTAAATAAGAGTTTATCCCTCTTTTAAAGAAGACGCTGAAAAGGACTTTTCTGCACCTGCTTTTATCCAACCCCTAACTTTCCCTTGCAATGGGCTTAATTGACAAAAACATAAATACTTAAACTTGAAAAAGTGTTAGACTCACTTTCAATCTGAAAGACATCAATTTTTTGCACAAGTACAGGAAAAGAAATAAAACAAGAATGTGTCTATAGTACATGGATGCCCCACTCGCACTATCATTTTCTATGTTCAGTGGACCATGAAATTGGGGTCAAAACTCTAATTTGGCATTAAAATTAGAAAGACCATATCATAGGGAACATGTGTACTAAGTTTCAAGTTGATTGGACTTCAACTTCATAAAAAAATACCTTGACAAAAACTTTAAACTGAAGCGGGACAGACGGACAAACGGACAGACAAACCAATGAACGGACGCACAGAATGAAAAACATAATGCCCCTCTACTATCGTAGGTGGGGCATAAAAAGATAATTTTAAGAACATGAAAACACTTTTTAGTATATAATTTGAGGGACATTAATATATAACCATGGGTTAGGATTTTTTCTTTAAGACCCATCTCATACTTTTTTGTTATATAAATAATTCAGCACCCATACAAAGCAAAAAGTCAAACGCTTTTTCTTTTTATTTGGAACAAAATTTCAGAAGAAACAAGGTGTGATAAGGACCCAATTAATCCCCATTATTCAACACTGCTGTCATAAAAATTTTGAGCACAATTATTGTACACAAGACTCAGAAATCAACCAATAAAAATACTGGATTTGGTTTTTCAAGCATAAATTTCGTACATTGAGTACTGAGTAAATTTTTATGACCAAAAGCCCAAGAGAAAGCAATATTTAACAATTAAATTGTACTGCAATGCAGCAGATGTTAAACCTTTTGGTCAGTCCAAGTTGCAAAAACCTCTTTTTTTGTTATGATGGGATCCATCGACTATCAAAGATATTGAAAACAAAATATTTCCTTGAATTATTTGAAATCAACACTTGCTTTTCTTTTTCAGTTTTCTAGCCTTTGACGGTACATCTGGCAACTGGATATTCTAAATTCGTCCATCTTTTCATCTTTTCATCTTTTTTGTACCACACATAACTATGAATTTTATCACGGGTTCTCGTAGAAATCATATTTTTAAAAATTGAATTAGATTGGTTTATCCTTTCCATTCATCATAGATCATAAGGCTCTGAGTAAAATATAAATGACTTACTGAATAGACAGGTTCTTCATCTGTATTTGATTCTGTATTTAATTCTCCATCTAATTTGATGACTGTAAGAGAAAATCTTATTTAAGGATGCTTCTCATATTTTCAACTTTTCCTCAATATTTTGTCACTCCAGGAAGTTTTCTAGGTTATGCATCAAATATTTTGACCAGAAACCACTTTGATAGTATATAAGGTATAAGAGGACAAATGGTAGAAAAAATAGGTTGTCACTGGAAAATAAGGACCAGAGGGTTTGGCCTATATCATTGTCTTAGGACAAACTACACATTCCTCATGAATTGTTCATGAAGGTTTTTCTTATAACTGTATTGCAAATGAAATTATTAGCTGGCTCTCTTACAGCATCCAAATATCAGACATGATCATTAGTTTTCTTAATTTTCAACATCAGCAGATTAAAATAAATTTTGTTCATATCTTTATGTGATAGTCCATTCAAATTTTTTTATCCTGTGTCTGAACTTTTCAGAATAGTGCAAAGTTTATTAAACTCTTGGAGTTATTACTGTACTTTCATCCTGGTCTTTACATCAATCATGTGATCATTTATGATATAGATTCCTGTGTGTAACAATCTTAAGACGCTTCATATTTCAGGTCCTCAATCTCAACTTACATTACCTATACATGTATGTACCTGGTGGGTTCTTCTTCTTTATTATTTTTTTCTTCTCGAAGCAAAATATCCCATTAAAGATATCTTACCATTTGGATCTTGTTTCTCTTCTTTATTCTCTGGGGATTCTTGCTGCTTCTTAGCTACCTCCATTTCTTTCTTTTTTCTTTCAAATATTACTTGAAATAAATCTCTCAGTGTCAAGACAACAGCTTCAGACTATGCAAAATATAATGAAAAATATTTTTTATTAATTGATTGTATGTGATGATTGATTTAAATTGTTTTCATCAAATATGTAACTGAATATGCATTATTATCTTACCTCCTATACATTTCTAGGAATATGATTGGTTAAAAGCAACCACGTGGATACCTTGTATATTCCATGTTAGGTTAGTAGGCGGGGCTTGTTTCAATATACGGTTAGTAGTGGTGTTACGTCCCTTTATAAAAATAACATGGTGTTGAGGACAAATCTTAAAGGTTTCAACAGACGAAGAAATTGATGATGAACGATTGAAATAAATTCATAAAACACAGTTGTTATTGTTGGCATTTGTTTTTGTATAGACCAATGGAAGAAGTTCTTAATACTAACGGCAATGAAGACTTGATCACTTTGATAGGCCACTAGTCTAAATACCACATGTTAAGATAGTCGGTAAGATAAATTCGTTACATAGTGTGCTAGTGACCTAATACGATATATATGGGGTCAGTAAATTCCATATGGGGATTCGAGCTTCGCTCGCACCCCATATGGAATTTACTGACCCCATGTATATCGTATTAGGTTACTAGCACACTATGTAACTAATAATGTTTGCTATTTCTGTCTGCTTTATTACAATTTTTTTAAAGATTTATTATAAATAAAAATAAGGATGTGGTATGATTGCTAGTGAGACAACTATCCACCAAAGTTCAAATGAAGTGGATGTAAGCAATTATAGACAACCATACGGCCTTCAACAATAAAAAATGCTTCAGATATAAAATAAGCTTATAATGATTTAATTGTACATCTCTTTATTATCTGATAACTTTATATTCCATCTCTAAAAATAGCACAAAGATCAGTATCTCTTAAATAACAATGAATCCAAAGTGTTTTGACTTGCTAGAATATATGCACTAACTGCTTATAGGTTTGCTATATCATATGAATTCTGAAATATATCATGTTCGTTAGTGGTATTAGCCAAAATAAAAATCTGGTTTCAAAGCATTACAATTTCCCTATCCTAAGTCTATGATATATACTCTCTTACTACTATGTAATGGTTGTATAGTTCTATAATGATTTTTGAATTTACATCAATTCACAGTGTATAACTTACTATGTGGGACTTTAGCAAAAGGAGATAATACCGTATTTGAAAAATTAATTTGTATAGTTATTCTTCAAAGTTCAGGTGAATATCAAGAAGCTCAACTTCATGAAAAAAATCAATAAAATCAACCTACACACAAAAAAACTCAGCCTTTTCTGAATAGATAAAGAATAAATTTCCTCTTTATTCATAATTGATGCCAGCAGACAGATTTTGGTTCTAATGTGGGATTTTCTGTCATATGTACGGTGTCTTTAACGAGTATGGCCTTTCAGTTCAACCTACTATTTTAAAACAAGAATTTATAAAGATAATAAAACTGTTTTTCAAGGCAGATTAGGCAAACTCTGTCTATTTGGTATTGGTGTCGAGCATTGGAAATGGACCAGTTGTGTAAATAAGATAATGAATGAAGTACTTATGTATATTTTACATACTGCTTTTTCTGTTTTGATGCCATAAAATATATGTTTTTTCTCCTCTGTACTGAAGATATAACCAAAAGCCCTGGAATCACTCATATCTCTTGATATAAAAGATACTTTGTGTACTGGATGTGAATGCTCTACTACCTATAAAATAAACAATAAATTCCTTAACAAAGATATAAAATATCATCCAAAATTACAATGCAAATAGACACATGGAAGCACTAAAAATCATATGTTTCATAAATAATTTTCTTTAATATTGATAATGTTCAAAATAGCATAAACCTATCAAATTTGAAATGTTTATTTTTTGTTGACAAATAACTACAGTGAATTCATTCATTTTGTGTTTACACATTTTCATGGATTGAAGAATACTTGTTTTTTGGTGGATAACTGATTTCAAGGATTTGCCAAAGTCTGTTTAGAAGCCTTCAGAAAATGTGTACTTCATTGAACATTTAAATTTGTGGTTTACCTTTTATCCACAATATCCATTAAAATTAGAATCCCACAAATAAAAATGAATCCACAGTTTTATAAACTCAATTATATATATCAAATAATGAACCAATGAACAAACGCCTCCTAAATTTCATGTTGGTAGAATACATTTCTTTACGGTCCTATGTTTTACATATAACGGTCTTTCTATATTTAAATGAGATAGGGTAATACCCATTGAATTCCTTTCTGCACGGATGATTTCGAGACAGTATATAAGGAAGATTTGAGGTGTGTTTGACCAATGCGACGCTCGTTACAAGATAGTAAGGACTATGTTAGTTTGGTATACTATTCCTCACCCTCCCACCCCATTTACGCATATTATATGTAACCTTATCGTTTCTTATCGACTTGTGTATAGTAAAAATTGATTCATTATGTATGGCTGATTGTATATATTTATGTTGAACACTTTCAATTAAATGCGATCTTGTAGCGAACGCACAACCCTATACTGTGTTTCGTTTTTTTTTTTTTTTTTCTACGATATCTAGTTCAGAAAAATTTTATTTTCGGAGGAGTAAAACGAGGGAGTAAATAAGTTCCTTTAAGTGGATACTGATGGTATGCAGGGTTGTCGAAAGAAAATAATTAAATAACACTAAATTGACAACAGCAATTAAGGGGTATTCAATCATAATGTACAAACAATGTGCATCAACACATCCCTCAAAATGTTCAAAACAATAATACAGAAAGGCTACAATTATGTATATATATAAGCACATTTAAACCACAGATTAAAGTGTTTCAACAAATAATTCGACCTTGATAAATAAGCTTGTTAATAAATTGTGATTCTAAACCCCTATTACTCTACAAGGTCTTCTCAAAGAACTCAAATCTTTCTTTTATTCATATCACAATTGTCATTACTTTGTCTTCATTTACCCTAAACTACACCTTTGATCAGTCCATGTCTAATGATGCCTGACCTTTAATTTTGTCATGTCTTTTAATTTATTGAACTGAAAATAAACATTTGCATTTATGATTCTCAATTTATTTTGACATAATTTGTACATAACTGTACATTATATTTAGATAATTACATGTCAGAAACCTTAAATTTCAAATTCTCTTTTACCCATAAATAGTTTTGATTCTTTCTATTACTCACCCCATGTCTAACATCTACAAGTTTTATTCCTTCCTCCGAAACATTGACAACAATTCTCTGTTTGTGAACACCCAAAGCTTTGATTTCTGCTTTCAACTTTTGGATTTTCTCCTGGCACATTTTGTCTCCTCTTGCTTCAGGGACTTCCTCCGTTCCTATCATTTTGGCATTAAAGCTAATTCCTTCTCCTTGAAATCTGAGTGGATCATTTTTGTCTATGAAAAAAAACCAAAATCATACAAATTGTTGAATATTTTTACACTATTCATGATTTGATAGGGAATGGTTACTAGTCATTTCACACATTTCAATAAGGTTTTTTTTATATACAAATGGACTTCCAAGTAGCTCTAAATAATTTTTTTTTCTGTATTATTTGTCTACAGATAAGACAAACAATTAGCAAATAATCCCTAGGCTACAAATATGTATACAAACGTATATACTCATCTAGGTTGCTCCAGCATAAGACCAGTGATATAACCTTTCGAGTTTAGACCCCTGAAAAATTTATTTGATCAAGAAAGGTTTTACCTGAACCATGATGTAGCTCTAAAATTGACACCTACATGTGTATGTAATACTTCTTTCATCATAAACATAATAATTGCACAAAGATACAGACTTGCAGAAGTCTCAGGGAGCAAAACTGGAGTTTTCCAGCAGAAGATTTGCATTTTGTTACAGGAATATCTAAAATCAGGAAATATTTGAATGTTATACACCTTTAAGGAATACATACGTCATTTTAAGTTTCCATTGTAAAAAAACATGATACAATGATCAAGCTCATCTAAATTCTTTTTTTTTTTTGGTATACGGGTAATATTCACGTTACTAATATTCACATATTACCAACGCTTTTTCAACTGATCTGGCGGAGCTTACATTTTAATTTGCATAAGGACAGTCTATTTGAAGATGTGTGTGAAAAGGAATTGATTGTCGTTATAATTATTATTACTGATTTCTAATCACCTATCAGTGTCACCAAGCAGATATACAAAAGAACTGAGTGTATGATATGGGACGAATAAAATAGTTTACAATTGATAGAATTTATATGTGCTATAGCTAAGTATTTTAAAGTATCGGCTATTGTATTATTCTGTTTAAAACCTTTCTATTTGTGAGATTAATATTAAATGGGATTTATAAAAATTATATATAAAAAATAAAATATTTACACCTTATTCCCTACCTTCCTTGAATATGATCATAATATACAGCTTTTCAAAAAAGAAATTTTCGATTTACGCGTGCATGTTTTACCGCTTCTTAGATTTTCTATTTAACACATCTGCCATCTGCTAGTTCAGGTAAATCATTCTGTATTAAGAATATGGCAGAGCGTAAGAAGATACTTTCCTCTCAGTCAAAAAAAATATTTTTCGTGTCAAAGTTTTTCCGGTCACAGATTCAACAACTGACTGCCACTCCAGTAAATGCCTTTATAAAGAGAACTGCAGAAGCTACCCTGGTTAGCAAGGCTGCTATACGGAGAACTCCCTGCCACCCCCCCCCCCCCCCCCCTCCAAAAAAAATGCATTCAGAATAAAAGGAATAAAAAAGCATATCAGAATAACAACATATGCATATTTTGCAACATCATAGTTATACTTTTAGTATCCAAAATGTGACAATTTTTATATGTTTTTAAACTCCATTTTACAAGAAATTCATTATCTGTGTCTCACTATTTACTTTGCGAATACACATATAGTGTTTACATATTTTAACCGGATCAATGACCACAACTGGACACTTCATTGATGAGTCTATCCAAAAACACCTATAGATGGACTGGTCTATGACAAGCATTTCTTTTTAATTTCCTGTACATACCGAACAGTTCCACCATAAACAATTACTGGTACACATATTTCATTTTTATACACTAAAAAAAAACACAAAGTTATGGCACAAACAACAGTCAGTTTAGAAACCCTTAACAGATGTATCGTTAAGTGGTACATGTGGTTCAACTTTTTCAAACGCTTTCTACCAAAAAAAATAAAACTTCTTAAAAAAAAAAGAAAAGTGGACAATGATACCAAGGGGACATTTAAAACTTAAATTAGAAGAGAAACCAACAATGCCATGACAAAAAACGAAAAATGACAAAATGTATTAAAATATCAAATATTTCAAGGTTTTTAAACAAATAAACAAAACTGGTACCTATTTTTCTATTAACTCTGAAAACAAGGGCAGGTTTGTTTGGTGTTGTTGCAGTAGTGGCAGCTGTTGTTGTGGTTGGGTCCGTTGTAACAGTAATGGTTTCTGTGGCAGGAGTGGCTTCTTCTGTTGTCGACATGATGTAAGATGAAGACTTAAAATGTGAATTCTTCTCAATTTACTTTGTTCAGATCAGATTCTGTCTAAAGTGCCTAAAAGATAAAAAGGTACCATTTATAAAAGCAACTATAACTTCAGAATAAACGAGTACGAGTATCATCATTACCATGTTTCATACTGATAGTACAACCTTAAACCTGGTACCGGTAGTCAGATCATCAAAACCGGCATTTTTTTGTCAAAATTGTTTCCTGTATGTATAATTTTTATAATTGGGACTATATTAAGCAGAAATTGTAACAACATGTACATAAGTATCATGTACAATTATTGATTTCATAGAATTTTACAAGTTTACATGTTTTTGTGCTCAGATTACGACTAATTATGAACTTCAATGTATCTTTGTCTTAAATTGATTTTTTTAGCTTGGCAAACCATAAGGTCTTATGACAATTTATTATTCATGTAGTTATGAAATATCGTAAATTATGGAATTAGAGTTTGTTCATTGCAACGAGTCATAATGACTTTGGTTTGACAGCTATGTTAAACTCTCCTTATATCAATGGTTAGAAATAAGGTCAAAGTACTTTTTTAATTTCATGACTTAACTACTACATGTATCTATTTTAAAAAGATAAAATTTAGATTTTACAACCAAAAATAACGAAATTTTCTTTAAACAAACCCATGATGCATATTTGTATTTTTTTCTTCATTTGATCCTTTTAAACATTGTTTAACATTGGGTTTTTTCAAGAGGGGGTTGGGGGGGAATTGCAAGCACCTTTTTAGATTTCCAAACATTTCAAAAACAAAGACTTAAACTTGTACTACTAAATTTTTTAATTTCCTGGAATACATCATTACATTAAATATCATCAAGTAATATTTCAACATAATTGTACACATGTTTATTATTTAATCAGGTCAATATTAACACAATAAATAATTAATCCAACTTACATAGAACATAACATATATAGCCCCAGGGGTAACAAAATAGTTGTTTCTGTACATTTCCATTAGAAACAATGTATTACAATACATACATTTTAGCACATATCTACTTTTACAAGAATACTTCTGACACATAAATATATTTTTTTTATCCTAACTTTTGTAATAGTTTTTGACATTTCACAGCCTAAATTTTGGAATAATTGTAAGATGTTTTTGTCATTAATTCATTCCTTCAAAGACTTCAAATTTTATTTTAATTTTTTAATCAAAAAAGTTGCTATTCTTTCTGCAAATTTCATTATCATTTAACTTTCAGAGTATTCCTATTAGCTTTAACATTCAATAGGCAAACAGGTTTTTTGATTTCCCTGAACATGCTGAAAGAGAGAAATCAAATTTCTTTTTCATATTAGTAAAATAGTATGACCAACTGAAATTAACCATGTTGACATCATGACCAAATGACAAAATAAATGAATTCATAGAATTAAAACATTTTAACTATTTTAATGTCCATTCATGAAATGCAGCTAAAGGACCGCTAGGCAAATTTACTTATCGTAAAAACACTTCCATAACCATGATACGAAAATTAAAACACATGTCATTTAAAACATTTATTGGTATGTTAATTTATTCAAACATAATGACGCAAACAGATAGACCTTGTAGCGTATTATGACCAAATATATTTCACATTTCATAAACTAACTGATAAATGTTTTTTTCAGGAGAATTGCTTCTAAATATAAAAACAAGATGAGGTATGATTGCCAATGAGACAACTATCCACCAAAGTTCAAATAAAGTGGATGAAAGCAATTATAGGCAACTGTACAGCCATCAACAATGAGAAAAACTCATACTGTATAGTCAGCTATAAAAGGCCCCGACATGAAAAATATGAAACAATTCAATTGAGAAAACTAACAGCCTAATTTAAAAAAAAAATTTACGAATAATAAATATGACAGACATGAACCAACAACAACCACAGAACTTCAGGCTCCTCACTCCTTGATCTCTTTTATTAAAGTCATACTTTGAATTATTCAAAAGTTTTGTTTTTGACTTTGAAGTAGCATGAAACTTGGAAATTTCTAAAATTCTAATAAAAGAATAGACTTAACTGTTTATAGTTGTTGTCTGTGTGCTTTGTGTTGATTTGACGAGTCATTAAGCCTTTTTAAACTGATTTTTGTAGTTTGTTCTTATCTTGTGCTGTTACACCACTGTCACAGTTTAGGGTTGGGCACCCACAAACAAGTTTAATCCTGTTACATTCTGTCCCAAGTCAGGAGATTATAATTCAAAGGTTGTTGTTTTCAGCTGTATATCATATTTGATTTTTGTTTTTTGTTAATTGTTTAATTCATAAATCATGTCTTTTATAGTTTTCTCTTTTGAGATGTTTTACTGTCTTTTACATGTTTTATAGCTTATTAAGCAGTATGAGTTTTGCTCATTGTTGAAAGCCATATAGTAACCTATAGTAACTGTTGCTAATTTCTAGCCCATTTATTCTCTGGTGGAAACTTGTCTCGTTGGCAATGATATGACATATCTTCTTAACCTTCTAAATTCGGAAGAGTTGACCACTATGTGAAAACATAGCAGATGTTGCATAACAACACACATAGTATGATGGCAATAAGATCATACTGACGGTTTGGACCAGGTAAATAACAACAGGATGCATTTCTCTCTACTATACACTCAGAATAATGTGATTAAACGCATATAAAATGCAACACAAAAGTGCATTCATAAACAAACAACATCAGTTGGCAAACTTTCATATTTTTAAGTATTTCAGCTTAAATACATATATGTCTATCATGTCTATATTTAATACTTCCTGTAAGAAGATAAGATACATTTGTATGTAGCTATATAGCTTTTCTTCTAATAATAGTACTTAATCTCAATATTGTCAGGTTTGATTGTGTAAAACACTTAACACTTTGACAAAAGCAAGTTGCATTTGTGTTCCATAAATTTGATTTACATTTTTAAACTACATGAAAATTTGACCTTATTGGCTTATGATCATGAGCACCAAGAATGGGGGAAAGGGGTAGGGGTAGGGGTCTTTAGAAATGCTTAGTTAGCAGGAGGATTTTGAATATGAATATCCAGGCCTTTGTAAGGGCTGAAAATAAATAACCTTGCATAAGACAGGATGATCATGAATTTTATACAACACAAAATGCAGGAATCAATCATGTACAAAAGTTCAAATCCTCCTCAACTCACCACCACCACCACCACCACCCTTTGACTTCATTATGGTGAGACAAAAAGGGGTATAAATGAATGGGACAGTCAGGAGTAAAAATCAATGCAACAGTCAGAGGTAAACATCAATGAGACAAACATCAATGGGACAATTAGGAGTAAACATCAATGCCACAGTCAGGGGTAAACTTTAATGAAACAAAATATACAGGAGTTAACATCAATGCAACAGTCAGGGGTAAACTTCAATGGGACAAAATATACAGGAGTTAACATCAATGCAACAGTCAGGGGTAAACTTCAATGGGACAAAATATACAGGAGTTAACATCAATGCAACAGTCAGGGGTAAACTTCAATGGGACAAAATATACAGGAGTTAACATCAATGCAACAGTCAGGGGTAAACTTCAATGGGACAAAATATACAGGAGTTAACATCAATGCAACAGTCAGGGGTAAACTTCAATGGGACAAAATATACAGGAGTTAACATCAATGCAAATGTCAGGGGTAAACTTCAATAGGACAAATAGGAGTAAACATCAATGCAACAGTCAGGGGTAAACTTCAATAGGACAAATAGGAGTAAACATCAATGCAACAGTCAGGGGTAAACTTCAATAGGACAAATAGGAGTAAACATCAATGCAACAGTCAGGGGTAAACTTCAATGGGACAAACAGGAGTAAACATCAATGCAACAGTCAGGGGTAAACTTCAATGGGACAAACAGGAGTAAACATCAATGCAACCCTCAGTGGTAAACAACACTGAGCAGCCACTTAACAAAAGCACCTACCAAAATTGACATGATTGAAATACATGTACATGATATAAACTAAATAAATGAATTCAATATTTCTTATAATTTATTACAAACACCAACCTTTTTCTGGCACAATCCTAGGCTGAGTTAGGGAAAAAAGTGTTAAATAAATCCTATGTAATTTTACATGATAAAAGTTTTATGCATGGACATGATGAAGTAGACAAGAGATCAGTGATAATTGAGATAAACCACATAACTGTTCCTGGACAATCAAAATTAAATCCTTTATCATTAAACAAAGATTGAAGGTTCAGTTGATAATGATTAAAACTGCATAATATATCTACATGTATCTGTAACAATTGGGTGTTCTGATGGGTAACACCAAGCCAAATGGTTAATAAGGGTGTGTGCCTCTTTTGAAATATTTGAACGACTTATAAATCATGTTTTATGGGATTTCTAAAACAATACAACATGAACCTTTTGGTTTTTTTTTTTTCTTTTTTTTTACTTTTTTAAAAAGAAACCTAATCCCATTTTGAAAATGATCTGTTGTTCCCACTATTTTTGGCCTAAATACAAAAATGTTTTTGGTGTATGTGGGTGTATATTTTTCCTTAAAGCTTCACAGATATAAAAAATAAGCTTATAATGATTTAATTGTACATCTCTTTATTATCTGATAACTATATACAGTCACATGCATATTGTATTTATAAAGATAAATGTCAATGAATGTCAAGATAAAGTCTAGTGAGTTCCAAATAAAAGTTGTGGATGTAAGAAATGCACTACACCACAGGTCAATTCAATAAAATTAATCCACCTGTCCATTGTAAGAATAGATTGAAAGTGGCCAAACCATTCTAGATATGGTCCCCTGTGCCCACCCTACCATTTCTTTCATAAAAGTCATAAGGCTTCTGACTTCTGCAAACAATACCATGAAAAAATGCCCATAGGGAAAAACATGGAAATTTTCTACTCAGACTTGAGGCGGCAAGTCTCTATCTCAAAATCATATAGGATCCATTTTTCAAGTCGACAAATCTTGCCTTTGTTAGTCTTGTGTGTTTTTCTAAATTTTGGTTCATTTGTATATTTCAGAGTTTAGTGTGGCGTCCATTTTCATGAACTAGAATACAGTTTAGAGGCCAGCTGAAGCCTGCTTTCATGTGCAGGATTTTCTCGCTGAATTGAAGACCCATTGGTAGCCTTGAGTTGTTTTCTACTCTTTGACACATTCCCCATTTCCATTCTCTATTCTATGATTCCTTTCCTTACTCATTAAATTAATACATACCTATTCTCTGACAAAAAGTTTACTGTTGATATCAATTAAATTTTATGATGAGACTTTATAATGAAACCTGTTGAGTGCTGTGTCTGATATTTTTTTTTTTTTTTTTTTCTAGAGTGACAGTATTCAACAAACAGCTGAGGCTACCATGCATATAGCTAGCTTCCTGTCATGCCTGTATTCGCTAGCACATTTTTACCATGCTTTCCGGGAGGGGGGTTTGGGCTCATATAAAACGGTTTTAACTTCACAACATTTGTCAGGCTATATGAACCATGTGCTGTTTGTAGTTGTTTGACTTTGTCTGGACATCATTTTTTGCTAATGCCTGTCCTCTTTTTATGGTACATGTACATGTATTACATGTTTTTATATTTTCAAAATGTTATATATGATTTATACTAATGCGATATCCTCCTCTTTGCATTTTTGCATTTTTTTCTTTATTGACAATTTTCCTCAAAAATAGTCACAATAGTTTATTTTCAAATGATCCACTTTGTTTCCAATAATGATAAAAAAAAATTGCTCAAGGGAAACAACTCCTAAATACATGAAATAGGACAGACTGTATCCTGCTTATAAAAATCAGATGATATAAGCATTAAATTTTTCTATAGAAACTCTTTAAAAGAAACTTCTTTCAAGGAAAACAAAGTATTGTTGAAGACTGCATATTGATCTCAGTCCTCTATATGTCTTTTGGTTATTTATGTTGTTAAGTTGCTGTCTCATTGATCATGTTGATGAATATATTAAATCTAATTCATTCATTCCAACAAACATTGCTGAAGCTTGACAGGTGCACCTACTTTTCTCTGGAAACTACATGTTACGTAACCTACCTCCCTTAAGTGCATCTGCATTTCTGCATGTGTATGTAGGATAAACATGTAGTGACCTCCTTTTAAGTGATAGTTCACTGAACAGTCTTCTAAAAATTTGGTGGTCAGACAATTGGCAACACTAGTCTCTCTCAACCAAAATTGACCTGACATGTCAGGAGGTCAGGCATATTTCGAGACCTCTGAACATGCTGAATAACTCACTTAAAGATATCAGTACATCTTCATGCAATATAAAATAGGCAAAGTTTGATGCAAAGTAAATCTTAAAAAACCCTTTCAATATACATTTGTTTTGAATAGGCCAAAAATAAAATATTTGTACTGTCATGTTGAACAATCATAAAATATCAGTGCCAGCAAATGAGGCCACACTTAAAAATATTTTGGTTTGCCCAAATCCTACCCATAGGTAAAGACAGTGGGTAGGTAGGTAGGCATTTTCTTTTTTTTTCGGCAAAAAGAAATTGCAGTGTCAGATGTTTCTTAGTCTTCATGCCTATCTGATTAAAAAAAAACTTTTTCACATCAGGACAATAAAAGATTTTAAGTAGGCAGCTATTTTCTGGGTAGGTAGGGTTAGGGCAAACAAACATATTCTTTTTTATGGCCTGAAGGCAAATAATTCTTTTTTAAATTTGTTTCATTGGTTTCAGCTGGAAAAGTCTGATTTTTGCGCTTGTTCAAAAATGGCAAAAACACTAAACCCCTTTACACACTTAAAACTAGGGTACATTTTGTAGGTTGGGTTGGCAGATACACATCACTTCTTTTTTAGGGCAATAGGCTTCATGTAAATGCATATATACATGTAGGTTAGAGTGACATACTTTAAAGTGAATGCTCACTAACTCAATAGAGTAATGGGTACCAATACATCTGCATTCAATTTTATAAATTAAATGAGATATGAGGTACATGTATAAAATTATGTAAAAATAAGATGATCCGACATTACTATTGCTGACACAAAAACAAAATAATTCATCAATTTTGCAGTAATACAAGGGGTCTAACATACCTGTATTTCAGTTGCATGTTAGTCCAAATCAAAATATGTATCCTTAATATTGAGAAAATGATGGTGAAACACTTTCCAGTGATGCCCTTCTGGAGAGCTGAGGTGTGGAGAATTTTTATGACAAATGTTGATACTTTCTACATGTTCTATGTATAAATTTATTGTGACCATCAACAATAACATAACAATTGTCAAGTGTCAACATTGAAATATTATTCTTTTACATTGGGCTTTGACAAATGTAATTATTAATATTACCTGCATCTATCTACATGTACTACATTTGATTTGTACATTTACATGTAACATGATTAAAACAACAGAGTAGGGTATTCAACTCTCGATTCCTTTGACAGTGTATAAAATCTTAATCTAAGTGCAAATTATCTGTTTTTTCTTCATAACATTATAATTACTTAGTGATATTCCAAAGTGGTACACTTTATCAACATTATATCGTAAAAGGGGGCGTGTAGCATGTACATTTCAGATACATACTATTATCTCGACAATTAACAGTTCCTTATTAGGAAATTAAATGTTTAAAACATATTATTATTTCCTAAACTAGTAGAACATTTCCTGGTTTGTATTTTACCAATTTTAAGGAGATTCCAAAGTGAAATGAAATGGTTCAACAACTTTGACCCCGTTTCTGAAGTTGCGATCAGGTGATCCAAACATAAAGCAAATTTCTGTGGACAAAACAGTGTACAAATTAGAATGAAGGAACACATAATTTTGAGAAAATTTAAAAATCGATTCCTTTTTTGTCTGACAGTTTATAGAAATGTTCACTTACCCTTTGTTATTCATGTACCCATTTTCTCGTGGGCGATCATGCATCAAAACAAACCAAATCAAACTAAAAAAGAAACCAACTACGGACAGGTTTTGAATATTCGAAAATAAGTATTTTAAAAGAACAGGAGATTACTATATACATTATTCTATAAAGAAAGAACAAACGAGTCATTGAGTATTCATGTTTTACATTCCAGAAGCACATAAGGGCATAAACCAAACGATGGGCATAACCTGACTGAAATAAAATTAGTGATTGCCGGATTGATTGATCCGGGATTCTTTTCTTTTCGTCCAGTGACAAATATGTCATGCGTATTGACTGAACAAGTTTATCAATCATAGGTAATTTAGCAAAATGGGTATCAAATAAAAAGATGATGACAAAAAAAAAAACCACTTATGGGGCGGACTGCCACAGGTAACCACGAATCTAATTTCGATCAATTGTCGTAGCTACAATCCCGTCTTTTTTCCTCGTCCATGACATCACCAAATTTCAGGTTTTTCACTTTGAATAAGCAACTCAAGCAGAACTGTTTACCCTTCCGGGGACTTACAATGTATTTATATAAAGGGATTGTGTGGTGTTTCTGCTTTAGTATTCTTTGTTGCATTTGTACTTTTATGTTTCTTCTTCTTTAAGTTTCTAGCGATCCTACAATTATTGAAGATTATTTGCCGTGCGTCGACTATAAAATTTTATAATTTACATTGTAGCAGGAAAAATAAAAATAAACAAAATAAAAAAATCAAAATAATGTATGTACATTTGAAAAATTTCATTTAGATAAAACTATATACATTTGATAACAAAATAGTTTGGGATAGAAAATGGGGATGAGAGCAGATTCTGAGATCATACTCTTGAATCCCTGTACTGTACTGCATGATACTATTTGTTGTGGCAGATGATTCCAATTTATAACTGTTCGTGGATAAAATGAATATTTATAACTGTCTTTAGATGTTTGTATTTGCCTAAATGAGTGTGGATTGCTATGTCTAGTTCTATTGTGTAGTGGGATCAAAAGGTTATATGTAGGGACTGCAACAATTTTGTGTATAATTTTGTAAAAGAAGACAAGTCTGTATCGTAAACGCCTAATTTCAAGTGGGTACCAATTTAAGTCTGTCATCATTTCAGTAACTGAGTTGGTGTTATGGAAGCGGTTGCATGAGAAGCGCGCTGCTCTTCTCTGAACTTTTTCAATTTGTGAAATTTGCTGTTTTTGATGTGGATCCCAAATAGTTGAGCAGTACTCTAGTTTGGGTCGGACAAGAGCTTTAAATGCATGAGCTTTAACTTTAGGTGAGGCTATTTTTAGGTTTCTACGAATAAATCCAAGAGACTGATTTGCTTCTGATGTCATGTTATCGATATGTTTGTCCCATTTTAAATTTGATTGAAGAGTTAGGCCTAAATATTTTGTAGAGTCAACTTTTTCTAAAGAGTGATTATGTAATCTATAAGTGAAGTCTAAAGGTTTGCGTTTTTGAGTTACACTGAGAATGTTGCACTTATCAGGGTGAAAATGCATGAGCCAGTCCTGCTCCCATCTGCCGGCCGATTTCAAGCCAGACTGTAATTTATATGTGTCATCTGGTTTTTTAATTTCCCTATAAATAATACTGTCATCTGCGAACAATCTTAATGTACTATGTTCAATAAATTCTGCCAAATCATTTATAAATATTAAGAATAAAATTGGACCAAGCACTGTGCCTTGAGGTACCCCAGATGTTACAGGAATTTTATTTGATGTTTCACCTTCAAGGACTATACTGTTTGTGTTCTGTTTGTTAAAAAATCTTGAATCCAATGTAATGCATTGCAATTTATACCGTAGAAACCGATTTTATACATGAGGTGGTGGTGTGAAACTTTATCAAATGCTTTTGCAAAATCCATTATTATGATGTCTGTTTGAATGATTTTATTATTTGAATTTGCAAGATCTTGAATAAATGATATTAGCTGAGTTTCACAGGAGCGAGATGATCGAAAACCATTTTGTAAGTCATATAGTATTTTATTTTTTCCAGATGTTTCATTATAGGCATCCTTTTTATTTTCATTGCTACCCTTACATTCTCAGGCTATAATTTCAACAACATAAACGTGTTCGTGTTGTTCATATTTGTTGTAAAAATAATCATATTGGAATATTAATATTAAAGGTCTATTCCACTTGCATCTTTCCCGTATTTATTATATACGTCAAATGAAATCCGGCCAATGAAAACAGTTTAGCAATAAAATTAACCTTTAAAAACTGCAAGCAAGTCATAAAATCTATTGGCATTCAAGTAATGGACTAAATTAGTTAATACGAATTCCACCAGATTTTGGTTGAGTTCGTGTTGCTTAGTTATTAGTTTTCTCCAGATTTTGGTTGAGTTCGTGTTGCTTAGTTATTAGTTTTCTCCAGATTTTGGTTGAGTTCGTGTTGCTTAGTTATTAGTTTTCTCAGGTTTTTGGTTGAGTTCGTGTTGCTTAGTTATTAGTTTTCTCCAGATTTTGGTTGAGTTCGTGTTGCTTAGTTATTAGTTTTCTCCAGATTTTGGTTGAGTTCGTGTTGCTTAGTTATTAGTTTTCTCCAGATTTTGGTTGAGCTCGTGTTGCTTAGTTATTAGTTTTCTCCAGATTTTGGTTGAGTTCGTGTTGCTTAGTTATTATTTTTCTCCAGATTTTGGTTGAGTTCGTGTTGCTTAGTTATTAGTTTTCTCCAGATTTTGGTTGAGTTCGTGTTGCTTAGTTATTAGTTTTCTCCAGATTTTGGTTGAGTGTAGTGTTTTGTAGACTTGTTTTTCTTTTCGTCGTCTTTCCTTTTGTACAACAGCGTTGTCAGTTTTTCTTCGACTTATGAATTTTGAATCTCTCCTTCCGTATTATTTTTATAGTCTAATATGAATATAAGGAGATTTAGTATGCTTGCCAGTGAGATAGCTATCCACCAGAGACGAAAGGATGTGCACGGGTTTAAGCAACAATTGGTCACCATACGGCCTCCAACAATGAGCAAAACTCATACCGTATAGCTTTAAAAAAAGATGTATGCAAAAATATGAATCAATTCAAACGAGAAAACCAACTGTCAGGCTGATTTATGTTTTTACAATAAAAAAAAAAAAAAACAAATATTACTGACAGCAACCAATGACAACAACTGAATTACAGGCTCCTTTTTTGGGGACAGACACATAAAGAGTAATGTTGCGAGGGTAAACATGTTTGTGAGTACTCAGCCCCATAAAAATAAAGTATGTGATATCCCGTTTGTAATAAAATTTCCACATGTATACATCCAAAATTTATAAAACAAATTGTGAATGTTTAAGTAACTTATGGTAACGAAATCCCTGACATAATATATTTACCAGTTGTACATAGTTTCGTTCATTTAAATGTAAAACATCCGGCACTACAGACGGGCATGGCGATCGAGTTGGAAAACATACACATCGTAAGATGGGCTCAAATGAACATTAACGCCCCCCCCCCCCCCCCCAAAAAAACAATAGGGAACGAAAAAAATTCTCTATTGTGGTAACTTTTTGTAAAGCATTCCCTGTGTGAAATTGAAATATCAAAATCTGGAAAAGTACAATTATTTATGTTTTTATTAGATGAAATGCCAGCATATCAACTTTTGATCAAAATATGTCGACAATGATTTGAGTGTATATACTATTGTCAATTCAGATAACAATACATGATCATATTTCAAGCTTTACTTTTATTGCATTATTACTTCTTAAGAAACTAACTGATCCGCATGAGTTCTTTTGTCGAATATACTGTTACTATATCAGTATAACAGTACTATATCGACATGTTGGTAGTGTTAACTTGAAACAGTTCAAAGAGATACATTTTAAAGGTAAGCATACAAGAATATCAAAGGAAAGGATAAGATATAGGCGTTATCTACAGCCCCCTAAAAGAAAATGTACATGCATTTCTATATTTTTACACAAACGTTCCTAAATCAGGAGCCTGATGTTCAGTGGTTGTCGTTTGTTGATGTGGTTCATAAGTGTTTCTCTTCTCTCGTTTTTATATAGATTAGACCGTTGGTCTTCCTGTTTGAATGGTTTTACACTAGTAATTTTTGGGGCCCTTTATAGCTTGCTGTTCGGTGTGAGCCAAGGCTCCGTGTTGAAGGCCGTACTTTGATTTATAAAGGTTTAATTTTACAAATTGTGACTTGGATTGAGAGTTGTCTCAATGGCACTCATACCACATCTTCTTATATCTATCCAAGCTTAGATCTTTTTGTTAATATGAAAGGTACTTGTGCCAGGCAAAGGTATACGGGGCGGTTGTGTATACTTTATATTCATGTTACAAACAGGGGTCGTCGTTGACTTCCTGAAACACCCGGTATGGGGATCTGAATTTAATTTTTATTTATAGGGGTTGTCTTCATTTCTGTAGTCATTATTTGAAGGTATCCGTTTCACAGATGATAGCGGATATGTTCATAATGTCGGAACTACAATCCCGTCCCCTTTTCCCGAGTGTGACCTACCGAATGAGACTTATTACCGGGTTTGTACTAACATGAGCAACACGACGGGTGCCACATGTGGAGCAGGATCTGCTTAACCTTCCGGAGCACCTGATACCACCCACAGTTTTTGGTGGGGTTCGTGTTGTTCAGTCTTTAGTTTTCTATGTTGTGTTTTATGTACTATTGTTTGTTTGTCTTTTTCGTTTTTAGCCATGCCGGCGTTGACAGTTTATTTTCGACTTATGAGATTGAATGTCCCTTTGGTATCTTTCGCCCCCCCCCCCCCCCTTTCTCTATTCTTTAGTTGTTGCCTATCATTCTCTATATATTTTAACACCCCGTTATGTATTCAATATTTTTTGTCCTTATTCTCATTATTCATTTTAATCGGTTTACTTTAGGGAAGTTCTCTGCTTACAATTTTTTAACTTTTCCTAATATTTATCAAACCTTTTGGCTTTTTATGCCCCCGTCGTTAGTGTTACCCTTGACCTTCCGTCCTTGTGTCCGTCCGTCCTTCCGTCTATCCGTCCGTTCTTCCGTCCGTCCTATTTTCGTTTCCGCACTCTAACTTAAATTTTCCTCATACAAATTTTATGAAACTCATATACATTGCTAAGAACCACAACACGCAGTTGGGCAGTAGGTCAATCAACGTTATAGAGTTTTACCCCTTTTAACTTGGAAAATTTCAAAGCTTGAGCGGGGGCATTCGTGTCTTCAAACACATTCTTCTTTTATCTTTTGTAATGCGTTCATTTTTTTTTTGTTGCTCAGCAAACACAGTATTTATCAATCTTTTGAAGAAAAATATCTTATATACATTTATGATAAAATATTTTCAAATTCTTGTCATGTCTTCTACATTTTCATACAATTTAATATTATTTTTTTTAAATCGATCATAAGTACGATAGCAGGTATTACCATAAATAGTAGAACGTTTATCACACCATACTTACTACCAACAACAACCGACTCCTCCCAGAAAATATACTTAAAAACAACAACGATTTACACGTGGTATAGATAGCCTATCGTGCGTACGTACAAAACTCCCCCTTTTAGATATTAGAGTATTAAAATTCAGGCTGGTTTTGGTAGTTCATATGATCTGTTGGACAGTCCAGTATTTTTTGTTATTCCTGCTATCCTTTTTATGTATTTTAACATAGAAACATGGTTCTTTACACTTTCAGATGGATCAGGAGAAGACTGTTAATGTCGAAATTTGCGCTGCTTGTCTAAGAGACAATGATACTGCTGAAGCCAAACACTGGTGTTGTGACTGTGCTGAGGCATTGTGTGATGATTGCGGGAAGGTTCATAGAAAGTCTAGATTCACAACCTCGCATAAACTTATCCGTCTCCGGGAAGTGAAAAATTCTAAATCATTTCTAATGGCTACGTCTTTCCTCTGCGATCTCCATTCAGATTTAAGGGTGACTTTCTACTGCAATAGACATGACCAGCTGATTTGCCAAACCTGTCTGTTACAGACACATAAAGACTGTAAATATATTACTGCAATTGAACAGCTAATGCCACAGAGACCTCGCAGTAGTAGTAACGACCATTTTGATGTTCTACAGAAGCAAGCATTAAAACTTGCAGACTCCTTAAACCAACTCATAGATACAAGGAAAGAAAACCTAGCAAAACTTGATGAACAAAACAAGACAATTCAAGCAACAATTAAGAAAACAAAGTCTGAAATCATAGATCATCTTACAAAACTAGAAGAAGAACTACTACATAGTCTGAGTGTCAAATACGACTCATGCGTTGAACAAATAGATGATGAAATTTCCCAGCTTCAACGAAATAGAGAACTGATGTCCATTCACGATAGTGATATTGAATTGATGAGAAAAAATGGTTCTGAACCTTATAAGTTCACAATTGTAAAGAAGTTTGAACAGACTAAACCAAGGACTGAGGATATTATAGGTAACTTCAGAGATAAATATAAACCACTGGTAATAGATTTCACCCAAAACGAAGAACAATTAGCATCGCTTTACAATGCACTGGGTTGGGTCGATATCAAAGTTATTAACCGAGTCCCACCTAATGTCAGTGCAATAACAACTCCACCTAGGCCAATCAGCAAACACTGGGAAAGTCCAACAGAGAGCAACAAGGTTGTAACTAGACCTGTATCAACTCGATCCGTTAGTAATTTCAAAGAAAATGAAATGTCGTTAAAAAAACTTGTACCTCAAACTCCCTCGATAACACAGCTAGTACTATACAAAAAAATCCCAACGTCTTCATCATTAGGAGAACATATCACCGTTTCACGTGGCTGTTTTATATCAGGAAAGCATATTCTTTTATGCGATGCACAAAATAGATGTATATTTAAATGTAACCTCTACGGGTCAATGGCCGATAAAATTCCATTGCTGTACTTTCCACATGATGTTGCCCTGTTTGACAAAAATACAGCCGTTGTCGCAGCAGGCGAGAGGGGTATACAAGTTTTTGATATCATCGATGGTGAATGTAGACCAGATCGGTTTATAAGGCCTGGTGGGAAATGCACTGCGATTTCCTGCATTGACGATCAAATCATCGTCCGGAGTGGACACTGCAAAATAAGCATTCTCGATCGCGCGGGAATTTCCATTTTCAAGATAAACACCAAATATGACCCTTTAATTTTAAGCGCAGGAATCAACGGCTCCATTTACTGGACAAGTAATAACGGGGATGAAGTCCAATGCATTGCAAGAGAGCGTTCACAATTCATCTGCAGATCTGAGACTTTGGTTGGTCCTACTGGACTTGCTACAGATGGCACAGGTCACGTATTTGTTGCTGGGTACGAATCTGGAAATATACATCAATTATCCAACAGAGGAACTAAATCCATTGTCTTAGACGAAGGAATACACCATCCTTGGGGTCTTGCATTTGATCAAGATTCTCAAAGATTAATGATTATTAATGACGACGGAATAGCTATCGATATTTATACAGTTTGCAAGTAGACGAAGAAAGATAACTCAATTCATGGACAGAAAAGCGTGACATTTAAATCATTGGCTTTTTTTTCAAAATGATATGGATATCATTGATTAGCAAAAACGTACATCAGGGCTGGTTTTTTTTTCTCAAATAAACAGATTTATCGAGGAGGGATGCCGTCTGAAATTTGATTGAAACTGGTATTGACCCATTTGGTTTTTTAGATTGTTTATTAAGTAAAAAGGTTTGAAAGTTGTCCATTAAATCTGTGTTTTAGCTTGATATATTTATTGATAGGGTTATGATTGTGTTGTGTTTGATATTTGCATCATTTATATAATATATAAGCGTCGCTTCCAATCCCTTGTTGAAATTTTATACATCTTTTCCGTGTCTATATCCGTGAGTGTATTATGACTTTGCTGCGGTATAAAATCTGCTATGAAGTGCATCAGCGGTCGATGTTACAAATAGGATAATGAAAAATCATTGTAATGAATTACTTTGCTCTTCGTGTGCCCTTTAATTGGAATAAAACATATCTTATCTTATTGGATGACCATGTTCAGATAGGTAGATTCGATGCCTGACATTCTTTTGATTCGAGCAGTCTGTCAAAGGTATTGATATTGCTTTTAATGTTGCTGCTGGTTATTTTGTTTTTGTTGTCTGTTGTTTCATTACTATATTTTAACAAAATTATAAATTAAGAATATAAAATAATGAATAGTATTTCGTATAACTATCACCAGGCTTCTTCGGTATCAGAAGTTGGATTTAAAATTAAGAAATTATTTGTCATTCGAAATATTTATAAATTACTGTATTTTCTTTTCTCACTTTCTTTTAAAAATAATAAAGAGATTGTGATTAATAAAATACTCCTTTGGCCTACCATCTTCTGTCAAACCTTCATGATATCTATTGAAAAAAGATAAGTTTGCTGCTTAGAATTATACATTTTTGAGAAGAAAAAAACTTTCTCTTATTACCTTTTTTGAAACGAAAGTTTGATTTGATTATTTTTGAGTTTCTATACTATAACAGTTGGACATACTTCTTGGTGCTGCCTATAAGCTGAAGGTTCGTCTGTTGACTCAAAAATAGTGATTTTTTTTTTATCTCTCCTGGCCTAAAACGCCAGTGTGAGATATTGCTACCACTTGGCGTCCGTCGTAGTCCGATTTCCATTAACTTTGACCAAAAAAATCTTCTCTGATGAAACTAATAGACCAAATAAAACCAAATGTGGCCTCAATTATCCTTAAGTATTTAGTTTTAGAATATTTCAATCTCTAGCCTACCAAATCGCATGGCCGCAAAGGCTCAACATAGAACATAGGGGTATAATACAAATGTTGTCTAGTATTTCGTAAACCGTTATAGATAGAGAAAATCTGACTGTGGCAGAAATGTACAATATCATGAGATCTACCAACTGTCTATTTAGACCAACACTTCAGACGACTCCTTATAGGAGTTATTGCCTTTAAACGACGATGTTTACCATTTTTTATGGTTTTGTCTGTTAACTTGAAAACTATAATAAATAGTGAAAACTTTAAATTGACTAGATCTACAACAAAGCCAACTTGGCTAAAATGTCACTCGACACCTTAAAGGAGTTATTGCCCTTAAATGACGATTTTTTTTTACCAATTTAGTTCGTTTTTTACTGTTATTTAGAAAACATAAATAGAAACTTAAAATGGCAAAACAGTTAAGTAGGACAAGATCTACAATAAGCCAGCATGTCAAAATGTCAGTTAACTCATTAAAAGAGCTATTGCCTCAAATGACGATTTTTGCCAATTTTTTTAGCTGTCGTCTATTATGTTGACGACTATATATAATAGATACAGAGAAACTTTACTTAGCAAAAAACGATAAGCAAGACTATATCTATTTTTAAGTCAACATGACCGAAATCATTAGTCAACTCAATATAGGAGTTATATTGCTCGGAAGTTAGGACTTTTATCATTTTTATGCGCTTTGGGCAAAAACTGTAGTAACAAAAGAGACACCAAAAAAATCAGCAAGGCAAGATCTGCAAATAAGTTATATAGCTGAAATCGTCAGACCTCTCATCATATGAGTTATTGCCCTTAAGTTATGATACTGTTCTACCCAAATTTGCATTTTGGGCACTATTGTAAATAGAAACTGAACATAACAAAAATGATCAGAAAAAAAGAGGATTGTAGTCATGAATTATATTTTAGTCTTTAATGTTAGAGAGTGGCCATTGTTGAAGATGCACATAAACTCAGGTGAGCGACACAAGGTCTTTAGAGCCTCTCGTTATACTAGTATGTAGATGACACTGTTGTTACGTATACTCGAGGAGTTGTCAGTAAAGGTCCGATCGCTACAGCTGATATGGCAGGAAGTTTGGACTAGATGTTCTTCACCCCTTCTCCCTTTGAACTATCAACTCAGATATTATCAGATATTTCTCATTAAACCACTACAGTCACTACTTGTCATCAAGTGTTGTGTCCTGCATTCGGTGTGTTTAATGAATGCGTATATTTCGCTTAGCCAAAAAAAAAAAAAATCCGGCATTATCGGAGAGTATTTTTCTTAAGTTTTCCTTAAATTGTAAGTTTAAAGATAGAAATTGCTTTCTTGAGTATTTGTATTGTACATTATCTGATAGCAGATTTTCGTATAAATGATAGATATGAGGGACGAATCAATTTCTACTTTGTCAGTCCACTCATCATAGGAGTTATTGCTCTTAACTGATCAGGATTTTTTTACATTTTTGGCAACAACTATAGTATAGAAAGAAACTGAACAACAAAATTGATCAACAAAAAAGAAAATTTTAGTCATGAATTATATTCTAGTCTTTAGTGTTGGAGTGTAACCATTGGTTGAAGATACATAAATACTTAGGTGAGCGACAAATGATATCTTGAGAGCCTCTAGTTAGATAAAGATGATACTGTTTGATCGTTACAGATGATCTAGATGTTCGTCATGCCTTCACCCTTTGAACTATCAACTCTGCAATTATCAGATATTCTCATCAAACCATTACATCATTGGGGGCCGAAATGGGGTCCTCCGTTTCTGTATTCTTTAATAGTTTAGGTCATTTTCTCTATTCCTTATATTGTTTGCCCATTATTCTCTATTCCTTATATTGTTTGCCCATTATTCTCTATTCCTTATATTGTTTGCCCATTATTCTCTATTCTTTATATTGTTTGCCCATTAAACTCTATTCCTTATATTGTTTGCCCATTATTCTCTATTCCTTATATTGTTTGCCCATTATTCTCTATTCCTTATATTGTTTGTCCATTATTCTCTATTCTTTATATTGTTTGCCCATTATTCTCTATTCCTTATATTGTTTGTCCATTATTCTCTATTCCTTATATTGTTTGCCCATTTAACTCTATTCCTTATATTGTTTGCCCATTATTCTCTATTCCTTATATTGTTTGTCCATTATTCTCTATTCCTTATATTGTTTGCCCATTATTCTCCATTCCTTATATTGTTTGCCCATTAAACTCATTATTCTCTATTCCTTATATTGTTTGCCCATTAAACTCTATTTTTTATAATGTTTGCCCATTATTCTCTATTCCTTTTATTGTTTGCCCATTAAACTCTATTCCTTATATTGTTTGCCCATTATTCTCTATTCCTTATATTGTTTGCCCATTCTTCTCTATTCTTTATATTGTTTGCCCATTATTTTCTATTCCTTATATTGTTTGCCCATTATTCTCTATTCTTTATATTGTTTGCCCATTAAACTCTATTCCTTATATTGTTTGCCCATTATTCTCTATTCCTTATATTGTTTGCCCATTATTCTCTATTCTTTATATTGTTTGCCCATTATTCTCTATTCCTTAAATTGTTTGCCCATTAAACTCTATTCCTTATATTGTTTGCCCATTATTCTCTATTCCTTATATTGTTTGCCCATTATTCTCTATTCTTTATATTGTTTGCCCACTATTCTCTATTCCTTATATTGTGTGCCCATTATTCTCTATTCCTTATATTGTTTGCCCATTATTCTCTATTCTTTATATTGTTTGCCCATTAAACTCTATTCCTTATTTTGTTTGCCCATTATTCTCTATTCCTTATATTGTTTGCCCATTATTCTCTATTCCTTATATTGTTTGCCCATTATTCTCTATTCTTTATTTGGTTTGCCCATTATTCTCCATTCCTTATATTGTTTGCCCATTATTCTCTATTCTTTATATTGTTTGCCCATTATTCTCTATTCCTTATATTGTCTGCCCATTATTCTCTATTCCTTATATTGTTTGCCCATTATTCTCTATTCCTTATATTGTTTGCCCATTAAACTCTATTCCTTATATTGTTTGCCCATTAAACTCTATTCCTTATATTGTTTGCCCATTATTCTCTATTCCTTATATTGCTTGCCCATTATTCTCCATTCCTTATATTGTTTGCCCATTAAACTCATTATTCTCTATTCCTTATATTGTTTGCCCATTAAACTCTATTTTTTATATTGTTTGCCCATTATTCTCTATTCCTTATATTGTTTTTCCCATTGAACTCTATTTTTTATATTGTTTGCCCATTATTCTCTATTCCTTATATTGTTTGCCCATTATTCTCTATTCCTTATATTGTTTGCCCATTATTCTCTATTCCTTATATTGTTTGCCCATTATTCTCTATTCTTTATATTGTTTGCCCATTAAACTCTATTCCTTATATTGTTTGCCCATTAAACTCTATTCCTTATATTGTTTGCCCATTATTCTCTATTCCTTATATTGTTTGCCCATTAAACTCATTATTCTCTATTCCTTATATTGTTTGCCCATTAAACTCTATTTTTTATATTGTTTGCCCATTATTCTCTATTCCTTATATTGTTTGCCCATTTAACTCTATTCCTTATATTGTTTGCCCATTATTCTCTATTCCTTATATTGTTTGCCCATTATTCTCTATTCTTTATATTGTTTGTACATTATTCTCTATTCCTTATATTGTTTGCCCATTATTCTCTATTCCTTATATTGTTTGCCCATTAAACTCTATTCCTTATATTGTTTGCCAATTATTCTCTATTCCTTATATTATTTGCCCATTATTCTCTATTCTTTATATTGTTTGCCCATTACTCTTTATTCCTTATATTGTTTGCCCATTAAACTCTATTCCTTATATTGTTTGCCCATTATTCTCTATTCCTTATATTGTTTGCCCATTATTCTCTATTCTTTATATTGTTTGTCCACTATTCTCTATTC